ACTCCAGTGAGATGGGCAAAGTGTCCTTGAAATTTTGACAGAACATTTACAATATGCACAATCTCATATCATATTCCCCCCATAAGTTATGTTTATTTCATACATTATATCCACAGATTTACAGACACTTCTCAACATTCAGAACCAGTACAGACAAATTTTGATATACAGAGAGGAAGTTTGACAGATGTACAGGATGTGGGAGAAATATATCTGACAAACATAATCAAAAGAAAAGCAATGTTAATAAGAAAGATTATAATTAACTACATATTCATGAATTTTGGCCGACATCAACAGCTACCTTTTAATAATAATTGTCAATAAATTCCTACAAAATGTGACAAGCATCAAAAATAAATAAGAGTACACTCATTTCGAAGTAAAAAAAAAAAAAAAAAAAAAAAAACACTCATCCACAGTACCATCCACTTCTGAATTATGTTCTTGCACTCTTCCATCCCTCTACACAGATAGCCATACAAAACTGTATTTCTCTTGCACTTAGTTTATATTCAAGCTATATCCCTTGCTCTGACTTAAAAGAGACTGAATGTTTCATGCTTAACACAACAAAGTAAAACGTAATGCCCCTTGCCATTCTTAACATACTGAGGAATGTATAAAGAACACAATTACGTGGTCTGTTGGTATCAGGATAGTGAATTAAATGGTGTTTGGTAATACTAAAACAAAAAGGGAGCTAAATAAAATAGAGGACACAGAAAAGATCACATAGAATAAAAAAAATTCTACCCACCACATGACAACATTAAGGCAACTATAAATCAAACAGGCTGTGATGGATACTGCATGTAATGGGGAAAATAGATGAACACAATATTATTCAGAACCTCCAGGTCACTATTCAAGAAATTAAGGAATACAAATGAGAGGATACTACAAACTGAACTGGCTCTGAATCTGGTCATATTTTGGAGTTTCCTGATCATAAATGGTTGAATATCTATAAATTGCTTTAAGTATACTCTGTAATAGCATTCACAAAAACTGTACCTACACAAAAAGCAAACAGTTTGGAATAAATAGCACCAATGTCTGCACAATATTTATGAATTTTTTTCTACAAAAATGAATACAAATGTAAAGTCATCTATCAAACTGCATCTTTAGGTCTCCAGAACTAATCAACAGACTTACAATGAAAACTAGTTCAGCAGCTCACTGCTGTTAGGCCAATTTCATTTTGGTCACTACAGACTCATTATAATCCCTAGTTTACATGAAGTCCAAATTCAATAAATTGTATCCGATATTTTTCAGATGTGACATGTATTAAAAGAAAAGGAGTTATATATAGGTAATGTTAAGTTTGCAATTATAAAGTATATAATTTATATACTAATAATAAAGTATATAATTTAGATGATGGTTAGTATATCAAGCTTATGAACAGATGATTACAGGAATGAATTATACCAGTGTTAATAGTTTCTTAATTGCCTATTGTAAATATCTCACATGTCAGGGTTACTACTATTTTTACTACAACTACCACATTACTGTCACAAGACTTACAAGTTTGCACAGCATATTTGCATAGCTTGAGAATGTACAGCATACAACATATTTTACAGATATATAGGCAAAACACAGGTAACCCACATAAAGTAGAAACACCTTAAGAAAAATACAGTGGAACCTCAACATAACACTCCCAGTTATACTGCAGATTGAGATGCACTTGAGCTTTGATTATGTGCCCTGATATGATTAAGTATCTGTAATGGAAGTAGCTTATAATGTGGGTACTCAAGCTGTCCCCTGACACTGACATTACGTCAAGTTCCACTGAATGCAACACAATGATAACGTGATGTCCCAATTTTGTTTTTAATCTTAGTTTGAAAAATAATCATTTAAATGCATCACATTAACTACCACTTGATAATTACCTAGAAATTCCTTTATTGTAAATAGAAACATATTATTGATAAAGTTAATAGAGAAATATACTAAATATTTCTAATTAATAGAGCTCTGAAGGAATATTCTTTCTCCTTCATACTCATATAAGTGAGGTGCATGTCTGTCAGACTGTTCCCAGTTTCAACTACTAACTAACTAACTAGATGGCTTACCAAACCCGAATTAACCAAAGCCCTCCACCGGACCCTGTCCTGGGACAACAAAATCCAGTCTCCTTCAACTTCTATCTCCCATAGAGTTTCAACTACAGTCATTAATATTATAAGAAAGTAACAAATGTGAAGAACACACCACTGAAGACATGGTATTTTTGAACTTGCTGTTTCAATATCAACATGGCGACATTGCAAATTTGTGAAGTGAGAGAAACACCATCACCAATTAATATAAGGTCTTATATTGGATCATTCAATTGTATTCATGCAATTACCTACTTCAAGGTGTCATTATAATCCAGCTACTAACATTAAAAGGTAATTTTCATGCTGCACATTTTGACACACTAATATGATGATGATAATAAAATTAAAAATCTTTTTAATCTAATGTGTGGATTCACATCCAGAATTTCCAGTTTGATTTCTCAATCTATTGCTGTGGTATGAACAAAGCCTCAAGTCATGACAAATTACTACATCTGATTTAAACCTTTCTTACCAAGATCCAGTAGATTAACGTATAATGCTATTTCTGTGTGTTGTGTAGCTGATTACATTAACTGTGGTGCTTGAAGGTACAGGCGTGACTTCATTCTACTTGCACCTTTTACAAAATAGTGAAGTCTCAAATTATCCGAGCCAGAGCAAACCACTATATGACATATGAAGTGGCCAAATAGCTCAAACCAACTAACTTACACAATACTTCTGAGCAATTAATTTTGAAAACATAACAGTAATGAAATGAGATTCCATTAAAGAATTTGTTTAGGTGTAATTTATTTAACAACAATGTCACATGATAGCTGGCCACATCAATTACACCCCAGTGAAAACCTAAAATCTGAATATTTATTTTTACTCATCTGCTGCATACAATCAAGGAAACTTATGAATGTGTAACATCAGCCACAGGGTTCATGAGAAACTATCTTCTAAACCAGTGGTATTCAACCATTTTTTGTTCGCACACACCCAGATATAATTTCTCTTCCAACTTTGTACCCCCAAAGTTGTTAGTGTATAATTCAAGTTATACATAATATATAATCTACATCTAAAATAAATTAAATAAATTACATTACTGATTATTCAGTGTTTATCATAAAATAATATATTTTTTTTTTAAATTTCGCGTACCCCAGGTTGAATACCACTGTTCTAAACCATTCCATGAAGAACTAAACAAGTGTTTATTTTATTTATAATTTGTCATGTCGAAAGAGTGCCCCAAAAATATGTTCACAGAAACATTTTCTGAATGGAAAATGAAAAACTGGAAAATACAACATTCATTTCTACCAATCAAATCATTAACACTTTTATTATTCATCACTGGATGTTTAGAAAATGTGATCACACAAAATACTGAAACAGTGCGACAGGAACATCAAAACATCAGGAAAAAAGATATAAATTATAAAAATGTTGGTACTGACACATATTTCAATAAAAAATGGGAATTTTCAAAATCCAGCACAGGGTGCTTCAAAATAAGTTAATTCTGATTTTAATTACACTCTGTGTAACACCCAGAAATAAATTAAACTTACCAAAATTAAATTATTTTCCAGGTTCTCAAGATGAACCCTGCTCCATAGAGTAAGCTATTTTGGAGGAGTTACAATTTTCATATATTCCGCTATTCCTATTATTTACATGATTCCTAAGTGACAGAAAGAATAGACTTTAACTTAAAGAATTTTGCATGGTCCTTCATCATTGCCCATTCACTGATATTCCTGTCAGTATCAGCCAAACAAAGAGTTTATAAAAGATTTTACTCAATACATACATGCTTAATTTTTGTAAGTAATATGTATATTCTTGTGTTAAATTTGCCTTCCGTTCACCTATGTCAACTGAAATTGATTACGTCTTATGAAGTTAATTCCTGCATACTGGAATGTTTAAAGACACAACCAATTCCATGGATCAGGGTCCTTCTTGAGAAGTTAATAGTATGCACAAGTAGTCAAGGAATTCCTACCTTTCATGGAACTATTGATTTCATTACTGTGTTTACATGAGTGTGGCATATAGACAATTTCTTAATTTTTCCTCAGCTCCTTTACAGTACTGCCAAAATATCTTGAAACAGGTCATAACCACTTTCTTGCAGTTTCTTCACAATTCATAATTTTTAATCACTCCTATCATTCAATGTTAGGAAACTGACAGAGCATAATTAAATAAAAAAAATTCTGGTAAAGTGAAATTTTAGGTTCTCACAATGGCAAGTATGAAGATGCAGTATTTACATTCTTATTAATGTATAAAAAGAGAAATGTCATTACCATAGTGGAGGTCTACACACAAAACTGTGATGTGAACTAGTCAAAGAACTGAAAGAAACGTACAACTTGATGCAACAACAAAAATCCTTCTTACATAGACACAATGTTCTCTCCAAAAATAAAAAAGAATTATATTCAAAACGCATTTATAAATAATAAAGGAAGGAAGGAAGGAAAACGACTTCACTCATTAACAAACAATCGTGTATCTCTTCTTTTATGCCAGAGTACTCACAAAGACAATTCAAAATATTCTGCCATAATGGAAGAAATGTCATTACTTTTCACGAGCCTTTTCATTGCCGAACCTCTCAGATCTCGTAAACCGTCTTGAGTTTAAGACCGATAAATATAAACTAAATACGTTAATATACTAATAACTGGAAGGGATTCAAAACAAAGAGGCGCTGACTATTAGGATTTGTCTTAAAACCTACTCTATTTAATGAATTACCTAGCGACTATTACAACTTCCAGTTTAAAACATAAAAAAAGAAATCCACTTAAATTCGCTTAAAACATACAATTTGCGACGAACTGCAAAATTTATCCTCCGAAAATATGCACAGAAATGTCTGGAAATAAAATTCGTTACCTGCTTCTCGTCGGTTTTATTTGCAGTGGCAGTCACTTCAAGGTCCTCCGTTGTTCCTGAGTTAACTTTAGCTGAGTCTGACAAACTACTGTCGCCGTTTTTGCTACACAATTTATCAGGTGCCTTGGGTTCGTTGCCTTGTTCAGGCCATGGTGCCATCTTGAATGTCAGGGGGTCCTGAGTCTGCTGATTGGCTACAAGTAAAACAAGCTGCCTCACGCATGCGTGCAATTATTACACAAGTTTTGTGTACCACAACAAGTATTCGTAACACATGTTTAATCATTTACAACTGCATAAAATTTATAACCATTTACAATGTGAAAGCAACCGACATATGAGAAAGAATTTATGCGAGATAATCGACGTTCAAAATCGATTAGAATATGTTTTCGATACTTTCTTGATGTGACACATCGAAAATTGATTGAATACGCAGGCCATCCCTCTACTTCATTTTCCACACTAAAAAAAGAACGACGCTTTATACATTCATAAATCAACACAGACCATTCAATCCTTCATCTTTATTTTGTTTTTTTCCAAAACCTACAGATTTTCATGATTGATCAATAGAAAGTAACTGCGATTTCACCGTTCTCGATAATTTATATCGATACATACGAAACGTCCCTGACGAGACTGCTTTTTTGAGATTACATGTAACAGTGAAGTGGTAACTACAACGTATTACCGTAATTTGGAAAGGTTTGTGTTGGAATTTGCGAATAAGAAAACCTTGTACTAGCTCAGTATCTTTCTGAATTACATATTCCATCAATCAATAGTGCTGATTTACCCCAAGAGAGAGACGAACTGTATCGATAATAGAAGGTTCGACAACGCCATCTCTTAACATTTAAGTTAAAAGCTTGTTTTCAACTTGTGGAACGCGAAACGGAGGTTGCTCACACTATCCAGTGTTATTAATACCCTCCCTCCGCACATATAACGAAGCGAATTACAGTTGCACATCATACATATAGTATAAGAACGATTCTTTATTGATCACCAGGGTGGCAACACACGGTCATTAAATGACAAATGTAGTAGTCAGCATTTCTACTCTGAAGATAGGAGCAGAAGATTACTCCAAAACGTATGTAACCACTCGCTTGACTACATGGTGTTGCTGTTCAAAATATTACAATCTGAACTCAACACTTTGAAAACTTCAACTCTCATATTCTTCCAAAATTTTTATATTTTGACAATTTGTAATGCAAGGAAAATTGTACATCTACAGATTAACTAGCCCATTCTTGAGAAAACTGAAGCATCATGATTTTTTTGGTGTTCCAAGATAAATTCTTATATTTTTGACATAAACTGGATAAATTTATTTCATACAGTTTTAAGTAAATAAAAGACTTGTCAGATTCTGTTTGATTAGCAAGAACTGAATTGAATTTATGTTCTGATAAGGTATGCAGAAATGCAAGAACATGTTTGAGTACATACTTCCACTATTCTTTCTGCATTTTCATGTTTTTCTTGGTCTTAATACAGAGTTAATCATTACTGTGATGCAGTTTTGGGCCATATCTCTTATAAAATTTAATTTAAGATTAATAGATGGCCCATTTAGCTCCTAGTACCCAATTCTCTATCTACTGGGTATCAGTTCTTAATCATCCACACTGTAGTGACTGAGATATAATAATGTAGTGCTTACATTGATTGTATATCATTATTCAGAATTTTTTCACATCAATGTGTTTGATTAAAATGTTTTCTTCAAACTCACTTGGTTAAATTGGCATTCAGTTTTGTGGATTTTTGGTATATGATAACTCTTCTTTCGCCTCTTAAGATTTAGGTCCTATATTCCCTGTCTGAAGCTAATACCATTTTGATCCTTCTATGCTTCCTAGGCCTTACCAGGCTGTTTGTCCTTCAGGTCTATATTCTCTTGCTGCTCTTGGACTTTCTGCAGCCATCTGCTCTGCACAGAGTATATTTTAAAATTTGAGAATATCACTTGCCTATAAGATGCATCAGATCAACAATGGTATGAAACTCACTTGCAGTGTTGTGCCTATTAAGAGATTTAAAATAGAATAATAAGAATAAAAGTATATTATATTTTTGGGATGGGCTCCTTATAACTTGAGATCTGAAACTGTGCCTTTCTTACCTTATATGTAAATCTGGAATTGAAATTAACTACAGTAAACCCAAATTATTAATTCCTGTCACAATATAAAATTTCAACACTCTGAAAACCCCAAATCTCAATAAAATGTCATTATATCATAAATGAAGATATCTTATTACTAACAACACAATTTTTACTATACAATCATGTCAGCATGATTCATAAAAATTACTCATTCTAGGTACAGTAACTGTGTGTTAGCATTATTAAGTATGATGAGATTCCCTGAATTGTGTTAGTCAGTAAATGTTCAAGTATATATAAAAATAATGTCACTGGGTAGAAGCGGGAAACTGATTTGCACTGGCAGTTATCTCATTTATGAAAACAATATTTGTTTAGTGTACATGATAACAAATTTCAACTCATGTTATATGATTCTTCTTAAAAAGAATTAAGCCTTCTCATAGTATAAAAAGTTCTCAGCCTGCACTTACATGTATGCTGTATTCTGGAGTAAATCAGGTTTGATTTATACAGAATTTCTAAGCATGTTTTTTTGTGACAGCACCTGATTTTCATTTGTTGTACAGACAGGTCTCTCATTAAAACAGATAAGCAATATATGAGATTTTTTACACTGAAAAGTGTTGTATTTCCTCATATACCAATGCATTGGATGTATGCAACAAATTTTTCGTGTAGAAAACATAAAAGCCAATTCAATAATTTATTTCATATGGCCATCTCTCAAAACTAAATAGACTGACAAATTTTAGTGTAGGCTCTTTACTATTAAACTGTACCAAAACCATGCAAATAGTTTTTGAGATTAAACATACAAATGGGCATCCAAATACATGCACATAACTCCTCCATTATGAAAAAAAGTTTAAAGGGTAAGTGGTTGTGTAATGAATTAGTAATCTGTCTGTTACTACACTGTGAACATTTTGTGATGAATGTGTATGGTGTTTACAATATGGATTTGATTCTTGTCTTTTTTATTTGCAGATAATTTAGATTACCTGTTACACAGATAAGCCACTGAACAAACTGAGTTATCACTATGACTTCAGAAAATATTTTCTTCTTTATACCAAATATCATAGGTATGTTTTTCATGTGTTACATTAAAATGTAATTTGAAAGTAATATGGCCAACTTTTGATTTCTCTGACATAATTTGACTATTGCACTATTATTTGCATTTATATTGAAATATTTCCTTATACAAGATATGTGCTGCTCGATAGAATAACCTCAAACTGGCTAGTAGCTTCCACTTCTTCAGTAACTCTTTCCTCTGTATCATCTCCCATCATTTTCCACTTGTAGAGAAGTTAATTAAATCTTCCATTCTTGTCATTTTTTTGTAATATATTTCAGTTACCTAGACATTGTTACATAAACTATTTTCATATGAAAATACTGAACACAGATAAATTCTTTTGAAAGTTTAGCAAACCTAGATTTTCCCACAGGTTCTTAAAATCTTGAAGATTACAAATGTGCACATGCTCATGGGCACAGAAATTCTAGTTCCAGGTGTGTATTTCTACACTGAGAAGCATGTAAACTTATATTTTCCTTGCAATGAGAGACTGGCTGCAATAAAATTTGTTGTCCAACATGGAGCTGTTATATATAAATGATCTTGCTTTGTCAGCAAAAGAGAATTTATACATGCAGCAAAATAAGTTACCCTAAAAGGTTAACTTATACCAAATTAAGTGCTTTGCACACGTTTATCACTGTCATCACAACATCTCAGCATTAGACTCTATCCTAAGCTAGGTCACATCCCATAACCTATTTCTCTAAGATCCAGTTCACTAGTATTCTCCCATTCAATCTAAATTTTCGAAGTAGTCTGTTCCCATGTTTCCAACCAGAATTTTTTATGAATTTCCTGTTTTCTTCATGTGTTTCGCATGTCCTGCCTATCTCACTTCATCTTGCACACATTAAAAAAATGCTGTGAGCTGATGAAACCTGCATGATGTTATCCAAGATGTTAAATCTGGGGGGGAAAAATGTTTTACTTTCAGGTTATGGCAGGATTGTACTGGCAATTGTATCATTCTATTATATGCCAACCAATTATGTAGTATCCTGCTGGTGCTACATCATCAGTGGCTTGCTTGATGCTTTTGATGGTCATGCAGCTCGTTACTTCAACCAAAGTAAGCATACTTTTTACATGAATGATTTTTAAGTTACTTTATTACATTACTTGAATTTCATATAAATAGAACTGAATAACATAAGATGATCAGTGATAATAAGTAAAGGGCAGTCAGGATCTAGTTGAAGGCACTGTTCCAAAGAAACTGATGACACTGAAAACTCCAGTCAAAACATTTAGTAGCTCGGTTAAAACTCAGTACCTCCAGTTTTTACATGTTAGGCTATAATAATCACATGTAGTCCATCATATCCTTCATGTCCATAATTCTGCTTAGCGATATTCATACATAATACATTATAGTAAATATTCCTCATTGGATGGATGCTATATGTTCTTACAACATTTATGGTTAGTGACAAAATGTACATATTCTGCTATCTGTAGATAAACATATGGCAGTATTTGTACCATTCTTCCAGCATACAGGAGTTGGTGAGACAAGAAATACTAATCAGTAAAAAACTAACAGGGACTTTCAAAAACACTACTGCAGACCACAGCTACTGAATGACTAATTCCACGACTTCATTAATTTCAGGTACCAAGTTTGGTGCAATGCTAGACCAGCTGACTGATCGATGCGGTACCATGTGTCTTCTGGTCACACTGAGCTACTTTTATCCACCCTACATGTTCCTATTTCAACTAAGCATGACTATAGACATTGCCTGCCACTGGATTTATCTTCATACGTAAGATAGATTTCTTTGTGATTCAGTAAGAAATTTGTAAGGATTATAGATGGAAGTATTAAGAAAGTAATGTTACATTGTTAGCTGACAAGTTTCTGTTTTTTAGACATCCTGAAAATATATCTTAAACTTGATTACAAGTATATGAAGGTATTCACTGTTTATATTTGTTAAGATGGAATATAAAATTTTTACTTTTAGAAAAAACATGGGAAACTTTATGTAAAACATGGGACTCTAATCAGGTGGTTGTTTTACAGATTTTCCATGGTATTAAAATATATACAGACTTATACTCTGCTGTTCACCTTATCAGTGAATACCTTCCACATATCTGAATTAAAACTACAGTAATCTAATTATGCATTAGAGTTTTTCTTGCATTAATTAACCATGAGATGAGCCGAGACCCATTTCTATACCAATAGTAAATCTCTACATAATGGAAAACATTATCATATAATAACTGAAAGATATCAAAACTCTTTCCAGGAGCTTATTGCAGGGTAAAACAAGTCACAAGTTCATTGATCTGTCAGACAACCCCATTATGCGCATCTATTACACATCAAGACCTGTACTTTTCTTCATGTGTGCTGGCAATGAAGCATTCTATGCAGCATTGTACTTGCTGCATTTCACTGAAGGCCCTGTAGGTATGTATAACTACTCGCATAATGGTTATTGATATTCTGGTGACATCATTCACTGAATGTTTTGATCAATATAAATTTGAACTCATCTTAAACATGTTATGCCAAGAACAGAGATGTTCAAATTTCCAGCGGACAAGGAGATATTTGTCCTACAAAAATATGTTCAGACTATCATCTCTATTAAATATTACTCTAATTCTATTACATTTTTTGTTGCACATCTTGTTAACAGTTGCTGGAATAGGACTTTTCCGAGCTGTGTGCTACGTTTCTGCTCCAGTGGCCATTGTCAAATCACTTATCTCTCTTCTGCATGGGTATGTTGCCTGCAGAAACCTTGGAATCGTGGATGCAAAGGAACGTGAAGCACTGCGTTTCAAAAATCAGTAGAAACCTCTTATTTAGTTATAAGGAGAAAGCTGCTATGGAATTCAATTCAAATGCTGGAGAGAAACTGAGGGAAGCTTATTTGTATGTCTGTACTTCTCTAGTTCAGTATAATCATAGCTTAGTACTACCCTCAAATTAATAATACAGTAATATTAATGAAGTCTCATATGAAGAGCATGTTTGTGATAAAATCCTTATTTGATATACTTCTTGATGAACATTGTGATTTGTTTTGTAACTATAGATATCTTTACATGGTTATTTCATTAAGCTGTAACAACTTCTGAAACCATGCAGCCTCAACATTTATGTGTAGGGATGTGATACATAATACAGGAAGTTTCATTATAACTATATGTGTTACATTGCACAGTCTATTAGGAGTTTTCATCCACACTAAAAAAATTTCAGGAAAATAACTTCCCTTTCCTGATTATAACAGCTGCTGAAAATGGTGTCTTCCAACATCCATTTACATGTATTTTAAAAAATGATGTACATTCCAGTGAACACACCATAATATAAGTCACTATATTATAACTGAACTATTTATATAACTGTAAATATGTTTATTGTATAATAAATAAGTTAACTATATATAAAGCTTCTGTTACAAATGTTTGTAGTTCATTTGTTAGTTTATGTATCACCATGATTGGCCACGTTCTATGTAACTAAATAACTGACACATTTTGTGTCCTCCAAATATTTTTATCATTTTTTGTTTTATGTCACTTTCATGCAAAAGTATAATTGAAATCTCAGCAATATTTATTTTTACTGATTCCCTGGCTAAAGCACGGGAAATAAAGTAATAATGAAAATGTTTTCTGAGCTAAAGATCTGTGATGTCATATTAATGTCAGAATCTATGTATGTTGGTAGTATTTTAACAAGGAGAAGCCTTAAATCAAGGATAATTAATGGAAACTTCAGTGTAACCCATAATCAGTATCTATACATGATTATTACTGATTTATGAAGTTTACAATGATGTTTAATAAAACTGTATTTATGTGGTGATATCTTCTTTCTTCGCTGATCACCCATGTGAAACTGGAGTAAGTATCCAGTGATTTGGAGACTGCCTTTACCTCCATCATCTGGGTTGGTGTGATGAGTAACACAACACCCACAAGCTAGCTCCAGCAGCCCAGTGATCCAGTGTCTAATAGTGCACCAAAATGCGGACAGTAGGCATATTGTCATTCATCACATCAATCCTGATGAAAAACATAGAGACAGTCTCTGAAATATTGGATGTTTACACCATTCTCATGTGGCTGACTGCCTCAAAAGACTTCACTACTTGCAGTCACCATGAAAGATTCAAATCTTACATATTCATTTAGCTTCAATGTACTAAATATACTTACTGTTTTAAATCACATGACATATGTATGTTAATGTATATGCTTTAGGAAACCAAAGAGTCATGAATTAACTGTTAAGGAGAGAAAAGTATCTTACTTGATCATGTTTATTATAGTGGAAAAGTATGTAGCTTGCTTTATCATGTTTTATTATAGTAAAATATTTATAAGTGTTGTAACTGTTTAAATATGTAGTACTTGATATACCTGCATATCTTGTGCACCATGAAAACAAATACATATATAAACATTATATTAACAGGTGGAAGTGTTCAAAACAGTTTGTTTCCTCTTTATGGTTTATTTGTGCCAGAACTACATTTACTTGAGAACACCAACTTTTACAGCAATAGAAAACCACTAACACATACATAAAAATTTTGACAGAAAGAAAGAAAGAAAGAAAGAAAGAAAGAAAGAAAGAAAGAAAGAAAGAAAGAAAGAAAGAAAGAAAGAAAGAAAGAAAGAAAGAAAGAAAGAAAGAAAGAAAGAAAGAAAGAAAGAAAGAAAGAAACTGTTCTAATTTAGTGACATGGCAAAAAGATAAGTTCCTTTGTATTAGAAGTTATGTCTCATTTTCACTGGCCATTTTAAAGGGATTGACACATGTGTGGAAAAAAATATTTTGACATAGCTTGTAAAAGGTTCATCACTCCTGTAGTGCAGCGTATAAAAAGTAACATTTATTTCTCAATAATGAAATGCAGAAACCCTAATATACAACAATCTGTCACATATTTTAGGATTGTTGGGGACAGTGAATTTGAATAATAAATTTATAATTTTATGGCATTTATGTGCATTTGGTCAAAGCTTTACTTACTGCTGCCATTAACTCCAAACTTGACTTTAATCCACAAGATCCCTGTATGCAATACATTAAACAATACTTACTTGTTACTAATAATAGAGAGTACAGTGTGATAAAAATATATGAGAATACATGAAAATAAGTAATTGCTAAAAATTACCTATTCTGCAGCACTGTGCCATGAAAGCTTATTGGTGACATGGAGACCTTGGCAGCAGATAGAGATGTGTGGTCATATTCATGATCCAGACATGTTTAACCTCAGTACCAATTGGCCAGGTGGCTGGGTAGGCCCTATACCTGTCCTGGATACACTGATGAAGAGAACCCTCGTCACCCAGCCTACAACTAGTCACTTCCGTGATTGGGGTATCATAACACACGCATCCTCATATGTACATTGAAACAAGAGTGGGGTCTAACAACTGTAAAACTCCATGTGACATGTTTCAAAAGTGTAACATTAAAATGAAGGTAAAATGCAAACAGAATACATCTGATACATGACATGGGTAATCACAATTATTAATACAGGGTATTAAAAAATGGAAACTTGTAAGTAATTTATTCACACAATAACACTGTGCTGGATGATGCCCTAGGCAGACCAAATAATATGGAAACACTAAAAACAGAACACAGTGAAGAGAACAGATATATAAAACATTAAAAACCAAATGGTCACAAAATATAACTGAGAATCAAAGTATGACAGAAATAATTACACTTACCATGGGATTTCAATGGAACCACAGAATATAAATACTACGGGAAAGAAAGATTATTACAAGATTCCATTGTACTCATCTGACTTACATTTATCAGCAGACCAAATTTTTACTTATTGTAATGGAACTCTGTATTTTGAAACAAATTACCCACAAACTTATGCAAAATCTCAATAAAAGCAATTTGATAATGTTTATGATTCTACACTGTTAGCTATATCATCAGAAGTTTAAAGTACATCCCTCCCCATAGATGACAGAGTTACAGTCATAGTCATGTATATGCCAAGATAAATTTTACAAACAAAAAGACAGCAAAGTCTTTGTATGAATAAGTCTAATGTAGTTACTCAAAGGGAACCCAGAAAAACTTCAGTAATGATCACATGAAGTTGTACTGAGAAGTTATGAGCATTCTGTAATGATGCAACTGACTATAGTTAACTTTCCTCAGCTGCTTATGACAAATTACTTCACAGTAATGAGACAACAAATAGCATCATATTTGCACCACTGCTCATTCACGAATAACTGATATGGAGTTGTCTTCAAAGATTAGGTCAGTCCTGGATGGGTATACAACTTTAAGTATACCATCACTACCAATTACTCTGACCTGCTGTACTGTAAGAGTGTGGTATGCTGACTGCAAGGTGGTGCCCTCACTTGGAGGCTCACTGTAGCTAATACCTAGCAGCAATGTTTCATGCAGCAGGGTGTCCAACACGCGTCGACATACATTTTGCGATGCTGCACTTGTTACCTCCACAAATATGTCCTTTGTTTTTTCTGAAATCTATCAAAAATAAAAATGTTTTAACACGAGGCTACACTTAAAATATGCTGCAATATTTGCATGGCTGATCCAACACAACAGTTCATAATCAACATACAATAGAGTCCCAGTTATCCAACCTAAACAGAACTAAAGGACAATTGGATAACTGAAAATGTCAGATAATATGGAATACCAATGAAAAAGATGAGGGTAGTATCAACTAAACTTGTAATATTATTAAATTACAAAGAAAATGCAATATGACATCAACTAAGAAAACCTCACAAAAATAGAAATAATACTTAACATTATGTAAATCTGTAAATAACAGTTTTTTTTTAAATTGGTAACAGCTGTTTGCTTCTGAGCCTCCTTCCTTTTCTTTGCAGCAAGGTCATGGCACTGTAAATACCTGCCTGGCTGGCTGCAACTGACTACTGACACATTTTATACAATCTGTTCTGCGGTGTTCCAGTATATGGTGCACCACTGAACCATGAAAGTAAAACAGAACACTTTTTATTTTTCATTTGTCAAAGTGACAGCTAGGCTAACCCAGCTGACATGTTTAATATAAATGCTCTGCCTTTGATGACAAAGGTTGAAACTTGCTCAAATAAGGAACATGTTTCACATATTATTGCAATTTTATCTGAAGCTTTACAACCAACTTACAAAACTGCCGAAAGATTAAATTATAAGAATAGAATAACTGGGATGAAACTAACCTTGGTAGAGTCGCTATTAGTAATTGGTGGCAAGGAGATAGCATGTCCTCCATTCATGAGACATGGATAAACAGGCTTTCCTTTCAGCAAAAACAAATACCTATAACAGAACAATTATATTTTATCTCAATCTGCATATATTTCAAAACATCTAAAAATATGTGAGTACAATAAATCTCAGCATAAATTAAGGAACTTTGGACAATAATGCCTTCTTCAAACTTTCAGTTCCTTCAAATATAATGTGACTATTGTTATTGCACTGAATTAGACTTCAATTTGTGTTCTTCTTTGTCTTAGTTACCTTGTAACACTTGCCTTAACAAATAAATTACACTCTGTGTTGTTCAGACACTGACAAATGATGAAAAATCTGCCCATGACAATTACCACTTGAAAATATACAATGACAATTTAATGTCAGCGGATCCTAATTTCTTCTTGATCTAACTGATTTCAAAATCTTAAAACCTACTGACACATATTTAAATTATTAACATGTATCCTCACTTGTGGATGCCAGAGTAAACATTCCTCTTCTTCTCTTTACGAAGTTCATCTGCTTCTCTCTGAAGCTGAGCAAATAACTCAGAACCTGTAACGTGTTTTGCTTTTCCCAATGGACATATCTTAATCTCACTTGGAGGATAGGCAGTGTAGACAATGTTACCAGGACACAGTGAAGCCATGTCATGTGTTGCTATTGTTGCAGCATTACGCTTCTCACATACTGTGTCATGTAGCTTTGTCTGCAAAACAAGACAGACAAATTTTAACTATGGTATAGATCAGAACTACTAGAATATTCCCAATGATGACTTTGAATTTTATTCTTACTATATACTGCAAATTAAAAAAGAAAGAACATGGAAAGGAACTTGGACATTTATAAAACAGTGACAGTGAGACAAGAAGAAACTTCACATTCCTTAACATGTATATAGTCCCAGAGTTTCATAAAAATTATTTATTAAAACTGGCATAACTTTGTCTTAAACTACAGCATTCTAATAAAGATGGAAAGGGCTGGAACAGAAAACAGCAACTGCTACTAAACTTTTGATCTTTTTTATTTTTCTCTCCCCCACCCTCCTCCAATCTAACACTGATGCAAGATATAGAAACATATTTCACAACAGATGTATATCATACAACTCATGTAAAGCTGGGGGAAAAAACTCAATTTCACAAACATGGACCATTGATTTCATGATAATTTAGACTTTGGGGTTAATTCTTTCACTGCATCAAATACACTAAATATCAGCAATGTTCTATGGATTTTAAAGATATCAGGTGGAAGAAACACACAACACTATGATTGTATTTTTTCTAAAAGAAAATAAATATTCCAAGAACTGCAGATATTATAGTTAACAGCAAATAAGTATTATCTATAACATTATTAAAAGATTACCTGGAGCTGGATAAATTTCTTGAATGTATGCTGTACAAAACTGATGTCTGAGATGATGCAGCAGACAATATGCTGTCTCACAACCTTCACAGATTCTTCTACTGTGATGGACAGTGTTGATTCCAATGCATGATTCACGTGCAGTTTATGGCACAGGTTCTCTGCCTGTTGTAAGATACAAAACAAACAAAAGCACACTACAGTTACAGAAGGAAAGATATTTGTTCTAATAGGACAAAGTTGTCCTGTGTGTAAGCACAATGCCACATATGCATGCAATGGGAGACAAACAATTGGCTTCATACTCCATTCACTTCACAGGAGTATGGGTAAGCTCCAGAGCCTTTCTGAACTTAACTATGAAGAGAAAAACCCTTTGTCCTCCTCAGAATCAAATCTCAGTTGTCCAGTAAGCACCCAGTCACTATCCTGGCTTCTAAAAATTCCTGCATTCACATAACCTGGAATTTTATTTTTATTGCATTTTGATATCTTTCACAAGCAGCTGTGTGGTATTCTGACTCTTTATCAAATCAGTTAATTTCCCTGTATCTTCATGTTACACAAGGAACAAATTTTAGCACCCTTTAAAACAATGTATGTTACTATGTGCAAACAAACATTTGAATTTGGCATTTAGCATAGCCAGAATATTTATTGTAGATTTAAAGTCATGGATTTAAAAGTTCACAGTTTGCAGATTTACAAACATTTGTAACAGTTGTGAAATAAGACATCTCCACCTCTCGAGTTTCAAGGACCCTGAACACCATCAGTTTATGCACCTCCTCCTGGGACATCCTGCATGAAAGTGTGTGTGTGTGTGTGTACATAAAGTCATCTCTCACTAATGGCTACCATGTTTAAATATGTTAAGTTTCTTAATATATATATATAAACATGTTTACTAACATACTTTTTTCTCCCTATAAGATGTTAATCTATGATGTATAATTTAAATGAAATTAATTTATATTATATTTTACAATTGCATGTGCCAAATTTAATCAAAATTCATTCACAAAGAGCAGGTGGACATACATGCATACAAAAGCTAACAGGTACCCATACACTGTTGTAAAACATGCCTAAATCTACCAAATAATACTTATAAATGATTCATTTTACAGCAGCTTCTGCCTGTAAGTGAAGGCAATTGATCCACTGAGTTACTCACATTCTCTTGCAAGTGTTCATTATCTGCATGCTCTTTCTTTCCCTTCTTGCTCTTCTTCCCCTTTCCAGCAGCTGGGGCATCTTTCCCAGTACTGGAGCGAGGGCAGTGTTGCCTCACATAGTCCAGCACTTGCTTCGAGCGACACTGGTCAACTAACTTCAACAGACGCTTGTCACTTAGCTTGTTTCCCTTCAGGTTTAGCTCTGCAAAGAATGCATTCCACAGTTAGAACCATGCACCCAATGGTTGAAAATGATGAATGAACTGTGAGAACTATTATAGTTTGTAAAATTTGTGAATTGAAAAGTTAAAGAAATCTGCACATCATTAATTTGCTTACACTATTAGTACCAAGAATATGAAGAATCTATGATAAGTACACAATAAGTTCTAGAACTCAAAATTGTATTCCTGTGCTTGAAATAAAATTACAAGACCTAGTATGAGTAGCCTTACATTTTTTGCTGCATGCATTCAGTATCTAGCAGTGGATAAAACTGGTGACAAGGTTGAAACAATTAATGGATCAGTGAAAATAATTATTTAAGAGCATGTTTAATTCAAAAACATGTCTACCAGATGGGTCCCAGATGACCAGAAAACTTGCTGGAAATCTGTATGTGTGAAGCACATCTCACCACGAAGCAACCTTCCTTCATGCCACTGTTTCTGTACAGAACCTAAATGTGGTAAAACATTAAGAGTTCATGCAGCCATTTCCAGCTACTGCTTAGTCTCTCCAGACACAAATCTCTTTAATGTGTTTGTAAAACATGTCCAACATATTGCAATACCACCCAACTTAAAATAATGTCCTTAATATTTGATACATATTAATATATGTTCTCATATAAATTACCTTTCAATTTGTTTATGTCTGCAATTTCACCAGGTACATCTGAGAGGTCATTGTCTCCAAGATCAAGTACTTTCAATGAACTTAGTTCCTTCACAGCTGGTGGTACATTCTTCAGTTTATTACCATTCAACTTCACTTCGGCCAGATGTAACAGATCTGGGTAACATATGTCAGGAAACTCTTCGAACTGGTTTCCGGAAAGATCCAAAATGCTAAGCTTTGTATTCTGAAGCATACATGGGAACAGACTTAACTTATTGGAGGCTAAATTTAATGTTGACAACTGCAACAATTTTGTGATCTCATTCGGAATAGTTTCCAGTTCATTTCGAGAGAGATCGAGCATTTTGAGGTTTATTAGTTTTCCTAAACTGGCAGGTAACTTCCAGATTTTATTCGAATGCAAAACAAGATTTGTCAAATTTGTTAGGTTACCAATGCCTTCAGCCAACACATCTAGGCATGTGTGGCTAATACACAAGTAATTAAGACTGGACAATGTATACAGTGTCTCGTCCAGGCCATCTTCTTGTATTTTATTTGACACTGCTGCTCCAGAAAGGTTTAATTCATGTTTATTTTCACTTTTAGCACTCAAAATTTCAGGCCACGTGTCCTGAGAAGACATCGTTAGACGACACAGATGACTCTCCTTCCTTATCTATGACAACTATATTCCTCTTCTAAATCTTTCGTCATTCACTTTTATATTGCTCTGCTGCACTTCAGTATCAAAATAAGTTACAGCTCCATAACGCTGACATATCGTTGTTTGGTCTAAATGAACTGTATAAAATAAATGCATTCACATGACCTGCAGGACTTTCTTGTGCGTGACGGCAAGCTTTATGTGGAGCAGATCAAATTACGATAATCACCTGAAACCAAACTTAATGTAATTTATATATTTTAAACCGATTCCAAGGTCTTGGGAATCAATCTCTAGGGCCCACGAATCGACACTACTCGATTCTATCTCAAATACATGTCTATGTAATTTCGAAGTAATAGGGGTAACATCAAAAATAACAGCGGTTAGACGTGTGAGTTTCACATGAATAACAGCAATGTGCGAAATGTACGGCGTTAATCTTAGTATAGACAAGATAATACCACGGATTGAACCTAACGCAAGATAGTAGTGTTGTGCCAGCTTTCACTCGGCAACATGAACTTTAACTTTGTTGTGGCGCCTAGAGTGTTTAAAGCTATTCAAAACGTCGACATTTCTGAATTATCAAAATGCACACCCAAAGAAATTCGCCCGATTCTGCCATGCCTTGTTCGAATGAGTCTCATATCTCCCCTAGACAACACCAGGGAATGTGCTGAAGGGAGGAAGGAAATATTGACTTTATTGTCGGGAATTGAACTCGTCAACTCAATTGTTGCTCTTCTATCAATCGATTTCCATGCTCTGGAAAGCGATGTGAAGAAGGAACAGCAGCTAAGGTAAACTGAGGGCGAAGCGCGGAGTAATGCAAAAGTAACAACTTCTGCTGCATGCCTTGGTGCTTCATTAGATCGAATCCTACATGAGCCAAATTTTTTATTACCTACAAGTGTAAATATGTCACCAACTGTTGATACTAAAATTATTTTTGGTTGAAGAACTTTAGTTCCAATTCTGTCCATGTTAAGTCTGTTGCATATAACCTCAAAGTTTTGTACCACTACAATTGTTGACTTACAAACAATATTTCAAAAGTAATTTGTAGGAATGTTTGTATCTCCCGTTATACATCTTACTCCGCATGTCTATTACTGACTGTGATTAATGTTTTATTTATAATTTTAATTCTTTCTAGGCAGAAGCTAGGCAGTTCTCAATCTGAGAGTATTCTTATCCAGTCACTACAGAATGGTCTTGCTTTGGAGTTTGAACGAAGTGATTCAACTCGCAGGTTACGCCTTGTCCTTAGCGAGTTACTATTTATTTCATCACAGGTAAAGGGAAGTAGCTAAGACTTAGAAGCATAGGTAAAGGTCACTGTTCTTAATTAAGCACTATGTGGAGAATGGATGTATGGCTTGATACAGTCTTAATCTCAGCAGTAAATGGAGGCAAGTGAACAGCTTCATGCCTAAATGATTTTAACTTATGGGGAAGAGCCCTATTGGATAGGAGGCTGGATGGGTTCCAGAGCAGGTCTGAACATTGGCCCAAGAGAAAAATCTTAGCACTGGCATTTTGTAATTTTTTTACATATGTGATTATTAGTTTTTGGAACAATTGCTGACCCTTGACCCAGATTTGTGACATCGAGTAATGTACTTAATGCATCTGTAATTCAGAGATATTCTGAATCATGTGTTTCCATTTCTATTTTCATTTGACATTACAGTATGTCTTATCCTGTTTAGTGTGGCATCACAATTCCTTACCTTATAGTAATTTCACACAGTGATGTATGTGAGCAAAGAACTGAATATGCACATTTCTGAGTATTACCATGACTACTATTAATTATCTACTGAAATGTTGACTTAGAAGCATCTTGCTGATAATGAGAGAAATTACGACACTTATTAGTATGCATAGGAGGACTGATAATACAAGTTTATTGATTCTAACATGGTATTTACTTGGCATGCAAATTTAAGTATATCCTTGATTTTTCATATGCTGAAATACAAACAGATGTTGTATGATGTCACACTGACATGCCTAGTTTGTTACAGATCCATGAACAACAGCGGGGACAGGACTTCTACATAAAGCAGTCAGATCTGTTTGACAACAAGGTGTATGTGGAGGAGATATGTGATGTGATCTGCATTGCCTTGGCGGAGCTTCCAGCAGTACTAAGCATACAGGATGTTGTAGAAACGCTGCTTCATGTGAAACATGGCCCTGAGATCATCTGCTGGATTGCTGCCAACTCACCTGACTGTTTCAGAGAGGGTGAGCCCTACTTTTTTTTTGATTTATTAATATTATTATTTCTTATAATGCGCCTGTGTTTTTAGTTTTCTTTTATTGATTCTGTGAAGGTTTGTGACTATTCATTATAGCGACACAATGTTGGACACTGTCCATTATCTGTGGTTACTGTGATGTCTGCAAACATCAACCTTGATGTCAACTGTGAATGATAGTGTGCTTGGCCTGATGTATTTAGATAAGGCAATACTAGCTTACCTGAACTGGTATGTGCTGAAGGTCCAAGCTCACAGATTTGTGCAAACTTCTGTAACAGAATCGGTTTGCTGCCATCTCAGAAATGGTTTCTAGATTTGTTAGCAGAGACCAGGAAATGTTGTCATAGGCTATACCTGGCAACATAAGAAACAAAGCACAGTGGCTACATTGTCCCTGTTCCTATACATCACAGCATGCAGGCATAAAGAAAGAGCAGTGGTAAAGCTCCATGCATTCTTAACCTCACAAATGGAAGGAGGTAAGTGGTTGAGTTCATGTTCTGGCTGTTTTATCCTTGCAAAAATTGTCAACGGTACCATTGGTTAGGTGGATGGTTCATGCTGCAAGATGATGCGGCTCCTGTCATGAATTGAACCCTGTTTATCCAGCACATAGCCAGTCACATTTCTCACTTTGCCATCCAGGCCGTTTGCAAAAGTAATATGGATATGTTGGGTTGCTTACTGTGAACTGTGTACAAACAAATGCATTTTGATACAGAGAAGATTTCTGTATGTCAAACATAAAGAGTGGGAATTTGTTATACCAAGTATTTAATTATTTAAGGCCTTTTCTATGTTGGAGAAATTATTATGAACTTGCCAGTGTTAAGTCAGGGAACCTGGACTTCTTGGAATTAGAGTCTTGTGCCAGTATGCTTAAGGTTCAGGACAATTTCAGTGCAGTGTGAACTTTTTCAATTGTTCCCTTTAAGTGACCAAAAAGTTGAGACTGACCAGAACATGTATGTAATTGTGGCCGTTTATAATGCCTCATATTTGAGGGTTGTTAATATTGCATAATGGGTTACTGCATATAGTGCCAAGATTGATGGTATTGGTTAGTGCGTTACTTCATGTGAGACATATTTTCCATTTTGAAATGCTGTTAATGCAGCTTTGCTTAAATGATAAAGGTAAAAACTGTGTCAAGTGAGGCAGGAAATAGCAAGGCCTTCATATTTTAATATTACATAGTACTTGCAAATAATATATAAAATTCATGTCACCTTTTCCATACATGTGGTCTTTGGAGATTGGCATTGAAAGAAGTAAACATAAGTTTCCTCTGATGATGTGTCATTCTTCATTATTCTGTTACTGGGAGTATTGGATTCTACTGTGTGTGTGCCCTGACTTCAGGATGGATTCATACACCTTTGCAGACATAGACACTGAATGTTGTTAAGACTGTAACTTACATATTGAATTCCTCAATATGTAAGTTATGTTAACAGTTAATGCCTGTATATAAAATGATCTTTATAAGCAGATTCTTTTGTTGTTTGTTTTAGTGTGTACAAGTTTAATTGCAAATGGAGAGAGACAGGAGGAAGACAATGTCGGTGGACGGATCCGCATGCAGGCTCTCAGTATGCTGTGTCAGATGAATCCAGTCCAGGCACTTGCCATCCGAGCAAAATGCGTATGTGCTTGATTACTTTATGCTCATTTAGCAGTGATCCAAATATTATCATGAAAGAATCTTATGTTTGATTGGAGTAGCAGTGCAGTTGTAAGTTTATTTACAGGTAGAACTTTGCCGCATGCCAGCATTGGCCATCACGCTGAGTCTAGATCATGCAGGTCGCACTCTTGGAGCTGATGCTGAGGGAGATATGGTAGCCTTTGTCTCTGGCTTGCTGCTTGGTAATGACCAGCAAGTCCGAAATTGGTTCGCCATGTTTGTTCGAAATGGACAAAAGGTATGTGAGATTAATTTTAAGGAATTAATTTATAACAAGCATTTTTACATTATTACTTTTAAATGAAATGCCTGTTAAAATACATTAATTTTATATTCAGTATGATATTTTGTGTTCAGCAAATATGTAAACAGAATTTTAACATGTATCACTACTGTCCAATGCTCAGTGGTGAGAGTAGTAAATTCAATATCTTGTAACTTCACGACATAATTAAATTCAGGAATACATTTTACTTCCAAGTGAAAATATGAGTTCCTGTTTTTATGGAGCATCTTGATTATAATTTTTTATGTTTCAGAGGAAGTGGGAGTCTCACACAGCTCTTCAGCTGTTGAGAGAAGAACTTCTGCGGCGCCTGCAGTCCATCATACTATTCTCAATGGACAGTCATTTGCCAGATTCTTGTGTTGTACAAGCTTCAGCACTGTTACGTTTGTACTGTGCTCTCCGTGGCATTGCAGGGATAAAGTGAGTTATTTATTTTAAGCTCCTGTGCACAGAAATTAACTCCTGTTAAATAGGAAGAGTATAGAGAGATATATCAGCACCTCTATTTTAGGATCTGATACCTGTTTGGTTTGAAACAGCTCATATTAAAAATATATATAGATGATAAGTATAACTCAGTGACTACCACAAATTTGTATGAAATAAGTTTTGATGCAGTAATAATGATAAGATATTTCTTCAAAGTTTGTTGTTGTCTTCAAATAAAATGGTGATATGTTTTGGCTAGTGTGGCTCAGAAATATAATTTTTGGCTTGGATTTTATTCTTAAGATAAGCTGAGTCATTCCAATTTCTTTATCCTGTAGGTTCCAGGAAGATGAAGTTTCATTGATTGTGCAACTGCTGACTTCACATCCACCACCCTCTCCTGCTGGAGTTCGTTTTGTTTCTTTGGGGTTATGTATGCTCATTGCATGTCCTTCCCTCATTGGACAGCAGGAACATGAGAAACGCAGTGTTGAGTGGGTCCAGTGGCTTGTACGAGAGGAAGCCTATTTTGAAAGGTGGTATAGTTGGTATAGTTTTCTGTCACATGGTGCATCATTTACAGATGATCTGGTTTTTTTATTCAGGGCCCAAAAATGCTACACCTGCCAGCATGCCTTTGATAAGAGCTGATATATTTTCTGATTTTTCTTCAGTACAAAGAAAGCTGTTATTCTAATCTCTTACCCAAAATGAGGTTTCCATATTTCTTTCATTACAGCATAACTCTTCAAAACTGTCACTCTCAAACAAGGCTTATTTATATACAATATGACATATACTGTTAAAAGAACAAAATTATTGTAATGATAAATATTTACATCAGAGTTGTCAGTTATGTCTTGTGTATTGTAACCTGTTGATGAGTATATTCTTTGTGTAGTGCAAGCGGTGTGACTGCATCATTTGGTGAGATGCTACTGCTGATGGCAATTCACTTCCATAGCAACCAACTAAGTGCAATCTGTGAACTGGTGTGCTCTACTCTGGGAATGAAGGTAAGTGTAATTTACATACCATTGTTTGAGTTTGCCACAATTTTGCACATGGCAATCTCAGATACTTTGCATCTTCTTCTTCTTCGTCTATGGCTCTCCGGTCCGTATTCGGTCCATGGCCTCCTCAATTCTCCTCTTCCATTCGGTCTTATTGTTAGGTCAATACTGTCCGAGGCTTTGATTGAGGTTTGGAGACATCTTCCTTTTTATGGTGCAAGGTTGTTAGCCCTGCGACCAACCCCCAACCTGGAGGACCAGGGTACCTGTCTTAGTCTGACCTCTCTCCCTCGACCAATCTGGCTAGGGAGGCCCTACCAGTAGCTATGCTACCGCCAGCATAGCTCTTGGGGTCACTGAGGTACTCGAGCCCCACCACCACGACAAGGTGCAGGTACCATTAAGTGGGGACTTTGTGTGTTGTTTTAATTTATTGTAATTTGGAACTATGGAGGACCACCTGATGAAAACCGTCATACTGCTGACTCAAAGAAATCAGGTATATATGTTAAATGAATTTTATATTGTTTTAAGTTCCAGGCTTTCTTAAATATTGTACAGTATCTTATGTTTTCAGAGAGTAGTGGTTCTTTTATTTTAAAATTTGTTCTTAGCTATAGGCTATTTATTTATTTTTAGTTTAAAAAACTAGGAAATGTAAGCATATCATTGTAGTGCTGACACATATACTGGAATTTGACCTTTCCAAATGGTGCCAGTGATGTCAGAGCCATCTGGAGTTACTGGTGTTCAACCCCTGCATGATTGTACCTGTCACCTTGCCAGCAGTTTCCAGAATCTGCTTTTTCCACTCGGCAAAAGTAGAGGGTTTCAGGAAATGGATTTCTCTTTACAGATTTTTTTTGTGCCCTTATGTAAAGTCATTTTCATAACTGTCTGATTTAAGTGAAAATTAAATTAGTTTGACAATATTTAATAAAATTATCCAGTTTACAATTTCTCAGAATTGATTCATCCATTCATGAGTCTTTCTCCATACACTTGACAGATTTTAATAGACACTCTTAAGGACTACATATGATTGAAGGTTTTTGGTGCAGAAAAAGAATTGTCTTTTTTAACCTTCTTGGAATTCTATTTGTACAAGCATGACATTTGGTTTATATTATTTTCAATTGAAAGTGATCAAAGTAGGTAAGTGATTCTGGGAAAAAAAATACCTTATCCATTACAGAATAATTTCATGTGATTAATGGACTGCAAGATCATATTTTTTTTCTGATTTTGGAATTTATTTACGATTGTTTGAACAGGTTCCCATCCGACCAAACAATATGACAAGAATGAAGCAAATTTTCACACAGGAAATCTTTACAGAACAAGTAGTGACATCACATGCTGTGAAGGTTCCAGTCACAGCAAATCTCAATGCCAACATTCCAGGCTTCCTGCCTGTCCATTGTATCCACCAGTTACTCAAAAGTCGTGCCTTCACCAAACACAGGGTCCCCATAAAGGACTGGATATATAGGTGATTTGGTTTCACCAATTTACTTTCCTTGACTATCTTACTATTTTGGTTATACACATCATAGTTTTTTTATCACATTTGCAACTTGTTGCACACTGCTGCATGCTAAGCTGGAGTAGGCATATGACATAAGAACAGGTAAAAAGTGATTCTGGGTGGGGATATGTTCCTGGACAAACCGGCGTAAATGGAATCGGCGTAAATTGAAACTCTTTTTATAATGTAAATCAATGGTAAGTCAATGACATGCGTTCCGGGCACACAAACATTGATGACATAAGTTCCTCAAAAATTGACTTTGCCTTATCTGTGATAGTAATTTCAGTCAAGGGAATGTTTTTTCGATTCATGACATCCACCCATAGCAACAGTAATTTCTTCATTCTTTCTAAAAGTTTACTTCTGCTATAACTCACTTGCGTTGCACTTACTCTTGTAGCCTGTTGATTGACTGTTTTATTTTATATGAATTTTTCATTATGGTAGTAACAGTGGAAGGAGGCAACTTCATACTTCTGCACACATTACGACGGGTATCACCACCTATTCTACGAATTACGTCCATCTTATCTTCTAACACAATAGACCTACGCAACTTTTTAGCAACACATTCACTTCTCTTACCAGACATGGTGGCTCTTCTACAATTTATAAATATAAAACAGTTACTACTGCAGAATAGTGGTCGAACAACAACACAAACACATTTAGCATACAGTTTTCAGCACATTCAATGTGTCAATAAGAAGCGAACTGAGCATATTTTTCCTTACTCCCTTATCAGGCTGAACGCAAATGACTCACCATGAAGAGTAACCAATGCTCACGTGACTGTTGCGAAATGTTGGTGGATTTTTGGGAGATTATCTCGCAACTACTTAGCAATGAGTGCAGAGGTAACTGTATTTATAATTTTTATTCAAAATCAGCGATGTAAGAATTACGATTTAGTATAAGAATCAGTATGAGAAACATTATGAAACATTATAAATAATAGTAAAATATATTTTTATCACTTTTTGACTTGCCGGTTTCAAAAGCGGTGTTATTCTGAATCGGCGCAAATTGAGGTTTACCTGTATAGTTGTGATGGTCCTTGGTATCTCCAGATGAATGCCTTACAGGCCACAAACTTCCTCTGTCATCCAATCCCAAAGTCACTGTCTTTATTTGTAGTACTTAACTGTAATTCACTGGATGTTGTGTAACACCAGTGGTTAATAGGAGTCATAAAGTAACTGAATAAATATATTTTTAGGCTTGAAGTTAAATATAACCTTGAATGCACAGCCATATTCCAAAGCCATTTCTTGTACATTCAGTTTCCTTCATAATTACATAGAGAAAATTGATGCAGAATGTGAGAATAGTGAAATCATGATTTTGTGAATTGTTGAATGGTTAAATGTGTTTTATTTGGCAAGATATGGCAAATGTATAAATACTCAAGTGTTCTGTATCAGATATTTGGTCCGTCTCTTAAGGAACTGAGGCTAAATAAATTTTTGTCATTAATGTAGGCAGATCTGTAGCAGTGTGCCTCCTTTGCACCCTGTACTGCCAGCTCTTGTAGAGGTGTATGTCAACTCCGTCTTGGTTCCTAGTCCAAAAGCTCCTCAAGAGCATACAAACCGGCCAATGAGTGAGGATGAGATTAGACGTGTATTCCAAAACTCAGTATTTGGTGCTCAGTTTGATGGCAAGAAACAGCGTTCAGGTCCAGTTGTAGCTGTGATGTCTTCAGAAGACAAAGACACAGGTAATTTGTTTCCCTAACTTCTTTAATATAATATTAAAATGGATTGAGGAATAGGGTGTAACAGTATGGACTGGATTTAACTGTGTAATGGGCCTTATGTTTCATAAAAGTCAGGGAAATTTTTGACTACTGATTGACTATTAGCTTTTCAAGAAGAACTCTGCTCCATAGAGTTACAATGGATAGTAGGTGTTGATTGGCAGCATACTGACCTATGTTGCTTGTTAGTGACAGTCAGAATGAACCAAGGTTTGAATATAGCAGTGGGCTCTCAGTGTGAATGTAACCAGTCACAGACAAAATTACTTGTGGTCTTTAAAGGAATCATTGGTTTTATCCTTTGCTGCACCATTTAGTCAGAATGTATCTTGACTATGTCCCGCGCGGTCTGAGACATCATGCTTCGGACCAGTGATACAGAATGCGCGCTGGTTCGAGTCTCGGGGAAAGAAATTTCTCATGAGATTTTTGACTGTGCCAACCCAGCATCGTGAGGAAATTGGGGAGCTACAATGGGTAGCGTAATCTGGTCATGGAAACTAGCAACGGCTGGGGGTTCGTCATGCTGACCACACGTCACCTTATATTTGGTTGGATGTTCATCCACCTCTGCTTAGGCATGTGAACGTGAGGCCAGCAGCCAGCTAGTCGGCTTTGGCTCTCAGAGGACTGTTACGCCACAGATTATTTTTTTATTAGTATCTTAACTATAGCACCAGTTAAATGAATTTTTCTTTAAATCATTATTCTTTGCTATATTAGACATGTTAATAAACATTTTAATTTACTGCCATTGCTGAACTTGACATGGCAGCAGATTAAAGGCTAATGCAATTTGTGTTACTGTAGACACTGAGGAGTTTCTGGCAGATGTGTCCTCACCATCCCTGACATCACAACTACTCCTGTTGTATTATCTTCTGCTGTATGAAGATGTGAGGCTGGCAAACACACACAGTTATGTACAAGCAGGTCGGAAGGTGAAGAGTTATTCAACAGAATTTTTGTCAGAGTTACCCATTAAATATCTTCTGCAGCAGGCACAGAAGGACCAACAGAGCTATGCAGGTCTGTGCTTATTTTTGCATTAAATATGTGGCATTTCTTTACATAGCAGTTGTATATATACTTTATAAATATAACTATATGGAAATTATAATTTATTCAGATGGAGATTTTATTGTATGTTATCTAAGTGACAACTTTCTTGACATAAGTGGTAATATTTTCCCCATGTGTAATCAGAATTTATACCTGAAAGATACAAACAAAATTATGTTTTCCACTACCAAACATCAAATCACTGAATGACAGATGCTAAAATGTCACTATTACCACATTTATGTGATTTTAAACCTCATATCTGAAGTTTAGGTATATAATAAATACATTTCATAAGCTGCATGAAAGATTTTAAATTAATTTTCTCTCATATACCAGTCAGATATAAAAAAATGTTAAACTTCAGTAGACATTGATTGTGTTCACTAATAATATTAAACTGTATTTTGGCTGTATGAAATTCTGTTGTAGGATTATTCTCGCCATTGCTTCGACTGCTCGCAATGCACTTCCCTCATCTTTCACTAGTTGATGATTGGCTGGAAGAGGGCATGGTGATAGAAGTGGGGAGCCAACCCGAACAGGCACCTGTTAGTGAAGCAGCCATCATAGAAGGTAGTATAAAGCTTGAAATTGTTTGTACATTGTTTTTATTCGTGATGCAGCTGTATTTTTAGTGACCAGAAATTGTTTCTGAACAAGAACAGCACTTAATAATTATGTTTGCTCATGAGAAGTACTGTACCAAGAAAATTTAACACTATTTTGGGATGCATTATTTAGTTATTGGTGTACTGATGTTTTGTCTTTAGAAGCGACATTGTACTTAAGATGTTTATAGTTTTTCTGTTCCCCCCAGCATTCAGTCATATGCAGTCGTGTCCGTCAAGAACAGGCCGTCTATTGCGTCAGCTCCTATCGATGCCTGCGACTGATGTATGGCCATATGCTGAAACAATCATAAAGTTCTTCAAATGTATGCTTGACGATAGAGTGCCTCGTTACATACAAGGTATAAGTAAAGCACGATACTTGAAGTTACTAGATTATGAAAATGTTGTTTTGGCATGTTCAGCGTACTCAAATTACTTGAGTTCTTATCTACTGTATTGCAGAGCTATATAAACAAGTGTGGCTGCGACTGAACACAGTGTTACCTCGCTGTCTGTGGGTTATGTCCATTAATGCTGTGCTGTATGAATCGGCTGCTGTGAAGAATGTGTTCCTTACGCAGGAGAATATTGTACTGGATCCACTTCAGGTACTGCGATGTGACACTCGGGTGTTCAGGTTAGTCTCTTTTATTAGAGTAGAATGTCTAATTATAAACCTGCTTCATGTTTGAAACTAGCTTGGGTCAGATGTCTAATGATGGGGAAAGAGGTGGTTTAAAAAATGTTAATTTCTTTTGACAACTTGACATGACTAATGGCCTAAGAGGTTGCCATGAAAGCTTTAGGATGAAGACTGCTTGGAAACGACCAGTAAAGTAAGAGTCACTGTGTAACCTTAAGGCCGTCTGTGGTGCCTACAAGTCTGGCTCAGATCAGAATTTAATGAGCAGTGAACATTTTCGGTACTTGTGGGTTATCGGGACACATCGCTTTAAAAATAGGTTAGGTTAGCTTAGCTTAGCTTAGATCAGGTTAATGTGTGTGGATAAATGATATATACTTGAAAGTCATTATATTTTATTTCAATAAATGACAAATAATTATATATTATTTTGATATGCATGAGATGTTAATTTTTGTTACTACCTGTCTCCGGAGGCCAAAATTCAGTTATAGATTTTAGAATTGTTTTAAAAATATTGCCATTATCATTTGTACACCGCCACATGAACTCAGCTAAATATGATAGATATTTGACTCCCCCGTTTTGTGTCCCGATAACCCACAAGTACTACTTTTCTTTTACCAATTGTTTTGATAGGTGTGCAGCTGCATTAAGTGTTGTACTGCGTGTACTAGAAGCGTCCTTGGCTGCATCCCGCAGTCAACTGTCACGTCACTTGCAAGATCGCCCTCTAGTGGAGCGTACTGGTCAGCTTACTAATGAGGCAGAGAGAGAAGAACTGCGTGTGGCTCTTGTGGCTACACAAGAAAGTGTGTCAGTGCAGATACTATTGGAGGCATGTCTTGAGACTGATGAGGACAGGGTATGTATGGAGCTCTGTAACTGATTTATTTAGATGAGGTCTGATTGAAACATTTGGATTAGAATTTATAATAATAAAACAACAATACTTGACGAAACTAATTGAACTATCTCCAAAATGATATGTTTTAGTTTGAATACAGAGTATATTTGTTGCTCCAGCCATTTATGGAGACACGTCTAAAATTCTTCTTTCACAATGGCTTGTAGGTCTTGTGGTATATGTTGAGTGATGCCACTAATATTGTCAAATCCTTTCCCCCTTAAAAGCCAATTTATGTTTAGGGAGTAGGGAAATGTGCCAAATCTAGTGAACATAGGTATAGTTGAGCCATAGAAATTACAGATTTGAACCCACGGTCCCAGCGACCAAGCGGCACAAGGCCCACGCCTCATACCGCTCGGCCACTGCGGACCCCTTTACTCTTTACTAAAAATGAATATTACTAGGTTGAAAATCAAAGATGAAGAAGTTGATGGGAAATGCGATGATGAGAGAAATAAAGACATCTTTGTAAATCCCATTATGTGGAGCGCAGCACTTCGAGGTTTCACCAACTGGAGAACCGATAATATATGCACGCGGACTGCAGTGTTTCATATCATATACAATAGCTGTGAGGAAATTAAGAATCAAACTCATTTGTATGAAGTAATTTTTGGCAGTTGGCTTTCATTAATGATCTTTTGTTTATGTAGGAGAAACCAGGGCAGTTATGGGCCCTGCGTGAGGTTCGCAGCCTCGTGTGCTCATTCCTGCATCAGGTGTTTATTGCAGACCCTTCTCTAGCAAAACTGGTTCACTTCCAGGTAAGCAGAGGACGTATATGAAATAAACTTTTTGGACATCATCCATTATCCTAATTCAATTATAAATGGAACTGTATATTCCAGTTCAGGAAATTGTATTTGTTAGAGTATTATAAATGTTTCTAAGAATGGATAAATTCATTGCAACATGTATGAAATTTGAGGTCCTCACAGCAGTGAGAATGTTGATGTTGGTCTTCTGGGTTATAATGCCATTATCTGAAAATGGAAGCAGTATGTTCCTCCAAAATGGTGGTATCGACTTACAAGTACACATGATATTACTACTCAGAAGACAAACATCAACAACACTGTCTGTTGTCTGAGAACTACTTTATAAACATATTATTTTAAGAGTTGGACATAGTTCTGTCTTGAGATGTTTGTCATTATATTGACAGTTTTTATTCAATTTTGTTAACTTTTTCTTGTTGAAACAACTCTGAATAAACCTAGTACCCTTTGCATACTAATCATGAAGTCACCATTAGATTAATGTTCAGAGGGTCCCAGAAGAAATTAAAATAAATTTTGTAAATACACTGTATTGCAAAGAAGGTCACGTTAAGACGAGTAGATCATATGTACATTTTTTAAAAAAAATTGTCACATCTTATGTGTTGTCAAACTTTCCATTAACTACAGGGTGCAAGTCTGGCTGACAGTCCTGTAATAGGGGGGTTTAAATCCCATATTCACTTATGATAACTGATATCTGTAAGTGAGACAGTAAACAGCAGTGGTATTCAAACTTTTTTGTTCGCATACCCCCAGATAAAATTTCTCTTCAACTTTGTTCCCCCAAAGTTGTTGGTGTATAATTCAAGTTATACATAGTATATAATCTACATCTAAAATAAATTAAATAAATTACATTACTGATTATTCAGTGTTTATCATAAAATAATATATATATTTTTAAATTTCACGTACCCCGTAAGATGTCTTCGCGTACCCCAGGTTGAATACCACTGGTATGCAGTGTTATAATAAAAGAATGAGGTGCACTTTGTAGAGTACCAAGTTGGAAGACGTTGTGGGTGGTGTTATACAGGGTTATCCTCGAGAACTGCTTCCTGTAACAGCACCAGGCATCCCTTCTATGCACATCTGTCTGGACTTCATCCCTGAGCTGCTGAGCCAGCCATCTCTTGAGAAGCAGGTGTTTGCTGTGGATCTCGTGTCTCACCTAGCAGTGCAGTATGCACTCCCCAAGTCTCTCAGTGTTGCTCGCCTCGCAATCAACACTCTCTCTACATTACTTGGTGGTAGGTTCCTTTGTGTGTCTGTGTCTCAGTATCAAGACCAGTTCCTGCATGGTCTGATAGTATTTATTTTAAATATTTTTCATTCATGTAAGATTTTGGGTTTTCACAGTGGTGAGTATGAAGATTTCTGTCTTCTGGGTTGTTGTGCTGTGTATTCTGGTTGATGTTTACCAATGTTTCAGAGGTCATACTGCCTCCGTCATCAGGCTGATGAATCGCCCTGATGACAGAGAATTGTTACATCTTACAGTAAATTTCCTAAGTTGTTACATATTGCAAGTACAGGTAGCCCTCAATTTGCGCTGATTTAGAATAACGCCGGTTTTGAAACCAGCAAGTCAAAAAGTGAAGAAAAAAAATGACTATTATTTATAACGTTTTACAATGTTTCTCGTACTGCTTCTTATACTAAATCGTAATTCTTGAATTCTCGCTAACATGAATTTGCTCCAATGAGATCGATGAATCGGTAAAAGCTGTTTGTGAAACACAAACTTTTGCATATGCGAGTTTGCTCTTATGCAATTTAATTCCTGGCGCTTTAAACTTTCAAAGGACTAATTTAACCTCTGCGGAGGTACCGGGGTTATTTTTACTACGCGATTTTCTATAGGTTGGCGTCTTTCATGAATGCAACTATCACATAACAGCAGAGATGACTGCACACATCAGTCATGTGAAAGAATCGCAGTCAATCGCGGGGACCAACGAATTGCCTATTGTAAGTGTATAAAACTTATTTTTTTAAACTCCCTTTATTTTATTTACGTTATTTCAGATCTTTAAATGTAATGCCATTGTATTACTCGTCAATGTTTGGGTGCCGGGAACGCATGCCATTGACTTCCCATTGATTTACATTATAAAAGAGTTCCAATTTACGCCGAATCCATTTACGCCAGTTCGTCCAGGAACACATCCCCAGCGTAAATCGAGGGCTACCTGTACTTCCTCTGAATATTATCAGCAATAATGTTAATCACTTTCACATCCTCATGCCAAGTTTTTGTCTCCACTGACATGATGATATTAACACAAATTAAAAACGGGATTTGAGGCTTGAAGTGTAAACACCAGAACGTCTGTGAAATTAATTTTCATGCTGTCTTTTCTTTTATTATCATTAATAGAGTCTTCTTGGTTCATTACACAGGCTTCAGACTTATTCATAGCTCTGTATCGTCAGCCTATTCTTCTTGAGAAAAAATGTGGCAGACTTGTGGACAGATATTAGAAATTCTTATTCATTCTTTTCATATCTCATTTCTCGTACTGATGAAAGCCGCGTAATTCGAGGATCTTACTGCACTTCACCACATTCCAGTGATCTTCGTGTTCTTTTTATAATTTCAGTTCTCCCCAGCTGGAGTCGTTCGGAGCTGTTTGGCCCATGCTTGCCTGCGCTAGTACGTATCTGTGAGGCGTTCCCTCCTTTAGTAGATGACGTGGTTTCTCTGCTGATGCAACTGGGACGTGTATGCATGTCAGAGGCATCACTTACTGCCCGGCAAGATGGTTCGGTGCAGTCGTCCATTACTGGAAGAAACAGTGATAGCAAAATAAGTGCTGCCGATAACCATATTCTCTGCCTTAAGATACAGGATACATTTGCAGATATTCTTTCCAGGGCAGTGCTTAAAGTGAAGATCTACTAGTTATTTGTACATACCAGTGTCTTCTTCTCAGACTGAATTGCCTGTGAAATCACTATTGTAGATAGTTTAGTCATACTTGTGTGTTAATATAAAACCTCTTATTATCCTTGATCCTAGCAGTACTCCTCCTTCCTTGTTCACTCCTCTTAGGGAAGACAGAAAACTGATAATCCTGCTACTGCCTAACCAAGCCCTGTTAGCCACATGCATATGTATCATTCTTCTTATTGCGCCATCTCCGAACGAAGGTTGGTGATCCACATGGCGAACATTGTCCTTGAGACTGCCTCTCGAAAGATGTCTATTGAGGTGCGTCCGAACCATCTTCTTAGGTCTTTTATCCAGGAGTTTTGGGGTTTACCGACAGATCTTTTTCCTTGGATTTTTCCCTCGATGATCAGTCTTAAGATCTCATAATGTACTCCTCTCATGATATGGCCCAAATACTGGACCTTTCTTTCCTTAATGGCAAGCAATAGTTCCTTTTGCTTATTCACGCATTTGAGAACTTCGATGTTAGAGACTTTTTGCACCCAGGGTATTCGTAGTATATGTCGATATAAATACATTTTGGATGCTTCGATCCTTTTCTCCATGGGAGAATCAAGAGTCCAGCTCTCGCATCCATAGAGAAATGTAGAAAAAACATAACATATCAGCGTTCGAATCCTCAGTTCTAGACAGTTCGAATCTAACGAAAAACCTCCTCATGTCAACGAAGGTTTTTCTGGCTTGTTCGATTCTTGATCTTATTTCTTTTTTGACGTCACAGTTCTGGTTCACTATGGTGCCCAGATATTTAAGAGAAGTCACTTGTTCGACAATGTTGCCATTGGTTCTTATTGCCATATTTCTCGGTAATGTTGAGAATACCATTGCTTTGGTCTTGGATGTGTTCATATATAAATCAAACCTTTCACTGTATTGCATCCACTGTTAAAAATTGCAGGCACCGATTCCTAATTTCTGTAAAACTTAGTATAGACGACATAATACCTTTGGAGAAGAAGCCGTACTTTAACTCCCTACAATTCATAATACCAGCATGCCTGTTTTATGAACTTCTGAGGTGGGAACACTATCACCATTTTGGAAAAATTCTTGGGAGTTCTGCAATAGATTTATTAGTTGTTTTTAACATCTCCCATTGGCTGCAAACCCATCTTAAAATTTTTTTGCGACTATCATTTTGCCATTTCTTTTGTCAATATAAAATTCTGTATCTGATACAGCAGCAAGCAGTGACCTAAGAATTAGTCAGTTAATTGAATTACTACTGGGGATACTTGGACAACCCGTTCTTCAAGTGCCAGAGCACTGCGGGTCCCAACTCTTCGTTAGCTCGATCTATCGACATTCGGTAGGACTCCTTGGACGAGGGATCGGCCCGTCGCAAGGCCTTTACCTGTACACAGGACAACACAACACAGAAGAACATCCATGGCTTGAGTGGGATTTGAACCCACGGTCCCAGCGACCAAGCAGCCCAAGGCCCACGCCTTAGACCGCTCGGCCACTGCGGACCCAATTGAAGTACTAAGAACTCGCAACTCTTGTTCCACCCTTGGTTCCTCCCACGCAGAACAAGTTTAATTGTTAGTAGCAGTAATGGGTATAAATTACTGCTGTCATACTGATTCAACCTGCAGCCTGTATATGACAACTGCTTCTTCTATTGGCTGCATGATGAACCACATTCATGATCATCTTCCCACATGTCTGTGTTGATCTCTGGGCATTTAATAAAATATTCTATACATGTTGCAGTTTTGAAATAAAGTTGCGTATTTGAGCTACATTTATGGCATGTGCGTATTTTTTAAACTTTGGTCCGCTTTTGAGAATATGTATAAATTTAGATTTTTGCGAAGTGAATCGGCATTGAATTCTCCCAACAGCCCCTGATAGAACAAAGTTAAAAATCCAGATTTGAGGTTCCCAGGGAAGTGAGAATGTACAGTTACTACTTGATGTCATGGTCCAGAGATTACACTTCACAATTAAAACATACACGGACATATTTATGCGCAGGACAGTAAACAAGATCTTCAAGAACACCTCTGCAAATTGCTATTTGAAAAACACCGTCGCGACGGGAGAAAAATGAAATGGAAAATGACTCAACTAGAGCCATCTACATTTGATGATTTCAAATAATTGGTAACAGATGGCATTGAAATACCCTCAACCTTAAAGATCACGCAGTGTGAGGAGTGTAGTTATAGTCAGTCCAGTAGCATGCCGGTCTGCTTTATCAATGCGAAAGGGGTTGTGATAAAACCAGATAATTATGTTGCCCTTTTATTCAATTTAAACGTAATTTTCGTACCAACAAAATGTCTTTCTTCAAAACTTTTAACTCGGGCATATTCTTAATGGGACGAACAGTTCATAAGTAGGTCTACTTCCTTTACCTGGTTGTGCATATTTGAGTGAAGCAGCAGTCATTATACCTCTGTATAGTCTTTTCCATGTCTCAAAAAGTGTTCAATTCTCAAGTAATTCGCACTTACAGGCTGATATGATCTGGACTAAACCTTACTGAGAAATGTAGGCTGCAATATTCAGTTATTTGCGTACGTAAATTGTAACAGTTAAGTAACAAACTTAACTGATGACTGAATAATTTAACCACGTAACCGAGACACTGCCTAATGACAAATCAACGCCTATCGTGCTTATTTATTTGATGAGAAATTCCTTATTATTATAGACTCCGAACTCTCACCACTGGACTGTAGGCCTATTATAAGCCAGTTGAATAAAGTTCGCATCGTCACATAATATTTTTTTTTCAAAATTCATTCACATTTACACAATTGTAGTATATTTCTGTTGATTGTGCAGTGAATCACTTGAATCTAAATATACACGAACCCGATGATCGAAACGTGTAGCCAATGGACGATACCGAGGACTTGGTTTGAAAGGTACAGCGATGTGGTGAAGAGACACGTAAAAGTGACGGTCCTTTGATGAAAGGCTTAGGAAAACAACGAGATGCTACTTTGCTGAACCTAAAATCCATGCTCGTATTATCCCCCTAGATATGACAAGTCCCGAGTCAGCTATTTCTAAGTGGCTTATCGATGGAATTTTGTATTCATTCGCTCCCCGTTCCAGCGCGATACACAAACCATCAATCTGAAGCAAGTAACAGGCTTTGATTCGGGAATATTGCCTGGTAGCATCTAAATTACGGATAATTAAGATTCATAACATGGCTGTCTGCTGGGTTGTACTCAGGTAGAAGTTTATCGACGTTTCAGAGGTGATTTCTGCCTCCATAATCAAGGTGATCGCCAGATTACACGGCGCTACAACCCAGAAGACAGCGATATTCACACTCACCACAGTGAGAAACTAAAATCCTACAATCAAGATTCAATTTTAGGAAAATCTCATTAGCCATTCGGAACCCTGGTATCGTAAATAACGCCATATCGTTTGCTCGAAATGTCAGTATTTGTGTGCTGTTTGCTGAGAACTGGTCGACAAACCTGTAGCTCGTGTTGGGGAAATATATAGAATTTTAATGAGTGTACTTCTTAGACAGCCAGAATTTGGAAATAATAAAATGGATATGTAAAATGAAATTAATTTAGCAATGTGGCAACTAAATGAGTTTGTAAAATATGTGTTAAACTTTCGGTAACTATCACTACAGTTTGGTTTGTTAGTTACCTAGGCGCATGGCTACCTGAAACTTCAAATGAAGTTGTGGAACGCGTTTCGGCTGCTCCACTGTCGTAAGAGTAATTACTTCAGGAAGGATAGCGGCTAGTTTTAGGAATTTAAACCATTTAAAATCAATATCCCTTAATCTTCTTGGGAATCTCATGGAGCCTTTGTTGAATGTGGCCCACCTTCAAAATGGGTATTTATCTCAGTTTTTCAACTACTTCAATTATTTATGGCAATTTCAGTTTTTGAAACGAATGTGCTGATTTAAGTAGGCCTAATAAGCATCGGAGCTTGAATTCTGAAATTCACTAACAAGTGGCAATAATTTTGTGCAGTGAGCATCTGCTGTTAGTACAACTGTACCAAGAAGTTGGTAATGACAAGTTCGAGCTCGAGATGTGTACCGTGTGGACAGAAACATCTGGCGAACAAGGGCTTTGGTGATAGGTCATAAAGTCCGGTCATGTGACTTGCTTGACATTGGTCCACGTATCTACCCACACCCCTACAAACTCAAAACCATAGAATGAACAGCAGAAAAGCCGCTGGCATGTAGCCTCAATCATCTTGTTTCTTATGAGTCCCTTTTGTTTGAATTTAATTGGAAAAAAAACTGATCATCATTTTGTTTAACCATTAAGTTTTTTATACCTTTGGAAGTTGTGTGAAGTGATCTGTAAAATTAGAAAGGAAGTTATACAACGGTACCAAGGTTAGTGTTGTAGTTAGAAATGCTAATTTGTGAAATATCGACAGTGACATATCGTTTAAAAAATGAGTGTGCTAAAGCAAAAAGCAAAACACTCACATCAGTAGTAAAGTTAAAAGTGTGTTTTCATATTCAGTTGCCTTTAGATACAAACAATTTCAAGTTTTCTTCTATTGATTTTTACATAAAAGTGGTTATTTAACGTGATCCCACTGAAACGACGTAAAAATAAACATTTTAAATATAATTTAGGCAGAATTGCATGAAAATAAAACTAAAGTGTCATTACAACGGCTATGTGTAATTACTTTACTTTTGTGAATTCAAACGTTCGCAATCATTGATATGTGACAGTCTCCACGCAAAGAAATTTGTTGTGTATTTGTGTACTCATTTATTTCACTAGACCACATACTTGGCACTTAATTGTTCGATCTTATGGCCTCTTGCTATTCTGGCTGCACCTACTAAAAACAATAGTGCGCATCACACGGCACCACAATAATCAAACATGTACAACAACAATGTACTTCGTGTAAGAAGTAATGCGAGCACGGATTCTACACGGCTAATACTAAAAAGTCGCTCTTAGCATGAAACTACACCTGAAGATCGTTCAGATTGTAGTTTTTAGCAAATTCTAATTGTAATGCAGACATTCAACTGCACATAATAAAACAACACGCTGGTCTTGTAATCCTGGGGTCCCGGGTTCAATTCCCGGCGGTGCCAGAATTTATAACTTGTGTTAGGCAAGGCCGTGGTCTAGGCAACACGGAGTTTTCCTCCGGGGCTTCCCCGGTCTCTCCGTGGCATCTCAACAATTATTCCATACTCCATACACACAGAAGAAGGCAATGGCAAACCACTTCTGGATCACCTGCCTAAAAACAAGGATGGAAGGATCCTGTTCATAATATGTCGCCAACCTCCTGTAAAGGAGACGGCGTAATAAAGAAGAAGAAATAAAACATTTATTACGCGACACAACTATAACGAGTATTTTTATGTGTTTTGTATTTATTGGTTAAATTAAATTTGCACACAATTGATATTCACCACAACAGAATAGTATTCGTAATAGCTAGACGCCCGAAGATGGACTAATTAAGTCCGAAAATATGTCGTCTAGTAAAACAAACCTTAAGACATGCAGTAAATTAGTGCATGAGTGCATAAATGGACAGCATATTTGTGATATGGAGACTGTCACTTAATACTTTGTTGTATTCACAACATGGCGCCTCAATATACCCTTCAACGATCATACTGATTTATCGCTATTCATAATGCTGAAAGTAGTGGAAAAAGTGTCGAAATTAGTCCATAAACACAAGGGATTACAAATCACTACAACTATTGCATGCCTTGGATATGAACTAGCAACTAACTCTGGCCATTTACTTTCCCTGACTTCTAAACATTAAAGAGTCTAACGACCTTCCTGACACATGCTACTTCTAAATCGTAGGCGAATTTATTTTCAGATGTATAAGTTCAGACTTCACGGTTTGGTCGCGGACATGTGGCCGTTGATCAGGATCATGCAAATGACCGGCTTCTTCTTGTTGGACTATCATGAAGACATGAGCTTCGGCTGGACGTCCATCAGAGCTGGGTATGCAGGCTCTATATCTGGCCTCATGGTAATACAGTTCGCCCTGATCTTCATCAACCTCATGAAGCAATCCGACGACGTCAATGACCTGACAGCCAACACGATCACGGTGCTCTTCTTTGTCCATTCGCTGGTAAAATTCTTCTACTTCGCTCTGCGCCGCGGCAAATTCTACCGGACGCTGGCCACGTGGAACAACGCCAACAGCCACCCGCTCTTCTCTGAAAACCACTCGCGTCATCACGCGACGGCGGTGGGAAGCATGAGGCGCCTGGTGATGTACGTGGGCATCGGCATCATCATCAGCGGGTTTGCCTGGACCATCATCACCTTCGTTGGAGACAGCGTTCACGAAATACCCGACCCCGAGAACGCGAACGAAACCATTTTCGAGGAGGTGCCTCGTCTCATGCTTCGTTCGTGGTATCCCTGGAATGCACTGTCTGGTGGAGGTTACGTCGTGTCCTTCGTCATCCAGGTGAGGACAGCAGTTGAAAACTTTATTTTTGTTCAATTCATACCAAAAATCGTACTGTATTCTGCACCATCGCACATTCCTGTTTGTATTGCAGATCCTATGGCTGTTTCTGGCCCTGTCGCATGCCATGATGATGGACACAATGTTTTGTTGTTGGCTCATCTACACGTGTCAGCAACTCGTTCACCTCAAAGAGATTATGAAGCCACTCATGGAGCTCAGCGCCTCGCTGGACACACTCGTCCCGCACTCTGCAGAGCTCTTCCGTGCCGTTAGCGCAACGACCAACAACCCCATAACTTCAGGTGAGATTTAGGTTGTCACAATGCCAGTCATTATAGTTCAGCTATTCTTAAAGAAAATTGAGGTTTCACTAACAAAAAATGTTAACTTCTGAGTACCATCTCATTTTATTTTTGCATATTATTTTTTGTGGCACTGAAAACTGACACCCCTAAACACTTTTCATATGACATGCATGGGTTTATATTTCTATTTACGTTTTCATAGAGTAACAAGTTAAATATTATTTACAAGTTTTATTACGGCAGAAATTAACACGCTAACAGCGCAATATTGACAACCTTATTTATTCGAATTTATATTGCTAACTACCTGCAAGCATTTGCATTTTGAATTAAGCACTATTTTAGTCTTATAATCAAAGGGCTGTGTCTTCATGTCGCGTGAATGACTTGATGAAATAGGCCCAGATAATGGGCAGAGTGAATCCACGCAGCTGATCTAACTCCGGTTCTTAACAACATTCAGCGAAGAACATATTATGAACTTTTCTGCACTTTCTGACCTAACATTATTCGGATTCCTTCATGATAAGTGAACATTCGCTTAGTTATCAAGATACCCCCCCTTCCCGTCAAACATCTCACGTTAAATTTGATTCCAGGTGATGGTGACGGTATTCGCGCTATCTACAGCAATCAGCACGACTTCTCGAATTTCCGTCTCAATACCGGGGCACTGGCCAATATCAACAGTGGCTCTGTGGGGCCAAATGGGCTGACGAAGAAACAGGAGGTGCTAGTACGTTCTGCCATCAAGTACTGGGTGGAGCGACATAAGCACGTCGTAAGGTGGGTGAGCCTCGTTTTATAAAGTGACGCCACTGCACCCATATGTACCTTTCCCCAGGATGCTTGCTTCGTTGGGGCTGATTCCCCCCCCCCCCCCCCCCCCGGGGGTTTCTGTCTGTGCCTAGCCGATCAGGGTTTAGAAATCCATTATACGCCCTCGCTGGGCTTCCACCATCATGATTGCAACATTGGTGCAAGAATGACTGGAGGTCACTGTTGGAAGACAACATTGGCCTTGGATCATATTAGTGAAACAATAACCTACATGATGTGGCGTGAAGAACACCTCTGGAATGACACTATACTCCAAAGAATACATCTTTCCAGTTTTGTAATATACTGCAATATGGAATAACAACATGGCGAATGAGCGAAATTGCGAGGTGGGAGAGAAATCAGCGTCACTTAATTCAGGGTCTTTAAATGATGTACTGTAACATATCATTGAGAAATCTTCAGATATATAGATTTATTTAAGATAATAATAGAATGTAGAATAACAAAATGCGAAATGATTCCTTGTTTTAAGTGTATAACTTTGTTACCCCGTTACATAAGTACTTTCCGTTAATTTGAATGAACTTATATAACACTTCAGTTGAAAATAAATTTAATATACGTTTGTGGGGACGTATATAACACATCAAATGTACTTCAGAGCTCCAAAATAAATTGCCTGTTACATAATTGTTAAACGTTTCGATCTGTTATAAATATATTTGCGACTAAATTATCTATAATGAGTATAACTTAGAAGTTTTTGTATTTTCAGAACCGTTGTTAAATTAATGTCATATTTCTCTTACAACGACGAAAATACACTTTCACGTTTTTTAATTTTTGTCGTAATTCAATTTAAATAAATTACAGTAACACATTCCAATTTCGCATTATAATACAAATTTTAAATACGTTTTCAGTATATATTCATACTTTTCGCCGTGAGAAAATGAAATCTCACATTATTTGTTGTTTAATGAGATTAGTTCTGCGATGAACAAACACCTGAAAAATGTTCTATTCCGTCTGATCGACACTTACGTCATTTTGTGAAGTGATTTCATTACGAGAGATTAGTTTACTTCAGAAACAAGTTTCAAATTGCTAAAAATGCATTTCAGTTGGGGTGTTTAGCATCAATTTTATACTTTTTAAGAGACCATCCCTCACTTCAACTACGTAACATGACAACCGTTCAAACCGGTGAAGTAGACGCGACACCTGAGGTGTTAGTGTTAGGATCCTTAAATTTAGTGTGGTAATGTAAAGTGTAAAACAACAGCCAGTCGGCCGAACGAAATAAAGAACGAACTGACAACTTATATTTGAAAAAAAAATTATATATAGAGGCATATTAAATATCGATGTCGAGTGGTTTGCACTCCTGCTTCATATTCGGCAGGTCCAGGGTTCAAATCTCAGCCCGGAAGCCGGCTATCTTAAGGTTTGTCGTGGTTTCCTCCAGTCCGTCTAAGTAAATGCCGGAGTATTACCTTAAATTAGGCTACGACCAATTTATTCTGTCATTTACAATTTATTATCCGCTAATTATCTTATCATTCGATGCTATATAGTCTAATAGCCTGAGAAACTGCCATCTTTATTAAATAAACCATAAACACAAATAAATGAGACAAGATTTTACCGATGTAACTGGAATATCAAATACCAACGTAGATACAAACTAAAATAATGTAAGGATTGATTTTTGCCTAAACAGTAGCAAATTTAAAAGAAGCAATACCATAAATCGTAGACATAGAGCTGAATCAATACTGAAGAGCTTGAAGCATCGAAATTTTTGTTTTGACTTCTAAGAAGCCTGAATAATGAAATATAATGTGGAGTGGTCGAAATTATAAATCGAAAATATGTTTAAATTAAACCGGAGATAAGGTCCAGGCAAGTATTATAAAAATGCGCATACAATTTGAACAAACCAGTTGAAAGGAATTATGTAAATTATTTATGTCAACTTTCCTTTAAAACTTTGTCTTTGAAGACAAGATAACAGGACTCAGAGGTTAATCACTTTATGAATTATTACAATCTGAGCACAATATTATTATAGACGTTATACAACATTTCTGATAGTTTGTAACGTGTGACCGCAGTATATTTTGCAAGACTCTGATATCCTCATAAGCTCTGTCCATGTTTCCGTACAGAATTAGGAGAAGAGAATAATTTGGAAATACTTGTTATTTCTCAGTTCGAAAACTGTCACCACAAAGTCGACTTTATTCGAAGGACGGTGGAAAGATAAGTTGCTCATCTCTTGGCGACACTTCATGAAAGATGTATAACGCAATGAATGTAAAGTTCCACTGATGCTTAATATCGGTACGTGATGGATTCGGGCGTCCGTGAGATGAAGTATTTGCACAGTACGGTATTAAGTGGACGGGTATTCTGTGGTTCGTACAGGTCATCGAGCGTTGTTATGACAGTGAGTTTACAAGGCTACGATGGCTTGAGCTGACACATACATTTTTGGCGACAGAAACCTGTTGGAAAACGGCCAGTCAGAAGACTGAGAAGAAGATGGTAGGATAACATGAAGCATAATGTACAGCAAGAATTAAAACCAAATGACCGAATGAACTTCACCAAAGAAGTTAAGTATATAAATCCTAAACCAAAAATCGGAATGTTGTGTCCACGCATTTCGGCCAATTTATTTTTCAATTAGAATTATTCAGTGACGGAAGGAGGAGATGAGAGGTAAGACGTTTCGGACCGATGCTGGCCTCAACTTTTTAATGATTTTATGTTTCTGATAATTCGAATAACTTAGTCGTTTGTTCGTTATTTATCAAGATCTTCGCACGTTCCTGTAAGAACTTATTACCCGACAGGAGGAGATTCCATGGAAACAATGACAACATACTTAGACGTCCCTTCTTGTTGTGGCTGGGAAATCAACCGCAATCCGCTGGGTTCCCTATAGACCTATCCTCACTTAAGATTAATATAAAAACCAAGAAATCGTACAAGCCACACTGGATTTGAGATCTGAGGTGATCGATTGAAACTCAAGGAATTCTCGATGATAAATTAAATAACACAAAACTTTCTAAATGACCCAGAACAGACGATGAATCCTTCATGGTATCGCCAGCCGCTTTTCAATAGCCCCTCAACTTTGTAGTCACGAGCATGGAAATTATTCATAAAGCCTTTGCTAACCAACCACAAATTCGATCACACCAAGTAATATTCAGTCGCCGTTAATGGCTGTTAAGTGAATCAGCTGGAAAGTCGTTCACGTAATAATTTATAGGTTTTAGTACAACAGTTGTGTGTTTTCTTGAACACAGATCCAAGTAATAACACAATTTCCAGCCATTGACAAATCAAACGCAGATCATCATGACCTCTATTTTCGGCCCTGACGACGGGGACATTGTGTTCTTCCGAAACGCTGGCATTCAGTCCAAATGCAAAACGGCGCAGTAACAAAAAGAAGAAGAAGAAAACGATATCTATCGATCTGCATATGTTTCTGTGAACTAAGTGGATATTAAATTTTAAGTCCCTTTCCGACCAAGCTAATTTAAACATTACTGCTGTGAGAAACGACGGCTATGGATTTTTCATATTCAGACAAAATCAACCAACAAGAAGAATCATCAAGCCGATGGCTTACTGATTAAGGCTGTATATGGACTTAAAAAAATAAACATAATGTTATCAGTGTCTAGAAGATTGATGTCAGATGTAATAAGTGGTAGAGCTTGCATAGTAAAATGAGTGGTTGTTACAGGAATCTGCCTTTTCCGGAACCTTGCACTATTATTAAAAGTTTATGTACGTCAACATATTATGCCGAGCGAAAGATTTACACGTTACGTGTATGAGAACTAGGATTTTATGTGATAATCTGCGGAAAGGAAACATCCTCTGCACAATTTAGTCTACAAATTTCCCATAGAATCTTCAACGAACATTTCCCAGTTACGTAATATTCGACGTCACTCGGTCTTATTTGTATTTTGTCAAATATTTGTTTAGAGAAGACAGCCATCTATAGACCCACCGTCGTGAAAACCCCAAAGCCTACATATTTTTAGTGCTTAATTCTTATTCTTGTTTCCTTTTTCAGTTTATAAGTTAAATACCCGCACATTTAAAATAAATACTACATTAATTGGGAGTTACATTTTTGAATATTAATGATTTTTGTTATATAAAAATTCCACCTAACAGAAAAAGATACATCCTTAATTAAACATGTAGAATACGTCAAACAACTAATATCATCCAGCCTTCCGCTAATCCAGAAGGAAAATTATCATACCATTATTTTAACAAATACCTCTGGTTCTCCCCCGCCCCTAGCCGAAGTTATACAACAGCGTTATAAATTTTGAAAAAGCTGATAGATTTCCGCGAAATTCGGTATGGAAATCATATAAATGAGAGCAGCAGCACTTAACGTTTAACATACTTTCGACAACTGTGCTAAGATTCCAACTTCTGGAATTCTGGAAAACATAAGGCATCAAATTTGTCTACGGTGAAATATGAAGTTGTTAAAGTCACTGTTGCGTTGGACGGAAAGCAGTAACATGGCAGTCTACGCAGTCTTCTTTCACTTAATGATCTTATGATGGAAATTACTTCAGTTGCGTGGGTATATAGTGCTTCTTGTGCGTCACGTTAAAATTTTTATAATGGTAAATTTCAGGACATTGTTACGGCAAAACAATGAGTTTATATATGTAAAATATGGAGTATTTAATCAAAATTTGAACCCCCCCCCCTCAGCGGATCGGCTTTATGAAACTTAACAAGGTGTCCTGAAAACCAGGACGGCTGTGCCTACAAACGTGAAACTTGAATGTTTGCAAGAACGGATGATAACACACGATCATTACTGTGGAAGCAATTCAGAGCCAAATAATATTATAAATAGGTGGTACACAAGTCATCACTGTGCTTTATTATTATTTATTTAGTGTTCTGTCTGACGACAGGTCCATATGAACAGGATCCTTCCATCCTTTTCTCGGACTGGGACCTGTTCATATACGTTCTTGGCAGATGATCCAGAAGTGGTTTGCCATTGCCTTCTTCTGTGTGTGAATGGAGTAATTGTTGGGATGCCACGGAGAAACCGGGGAAGCCCCCGGAGGAAAACTCCGTGTTGCCTAGACCACGGCCTTGCCCAACACAAGTTATAAATTAGGGCACCGCCGGAATCGAACCCGAGACCCCAGGATTACAAGGCCAGCGTTCTAACCGCTAGACCACCATGGCGGTTCACTGTGCTTTATAAAATTAAAATAGTCCACACAACTTTTTGCAGATTTCTTATATTCTTAATAACGAAGCAAATAAGAGTAGGTCATGGCATTGAGCATTATTTTATCATCGTCTTGTTTGGTTTGTGCTGTTGAAATGTTGTGAGTTGTGTAAGGAATTGTTTCGTGTCGCAGATGTCAGCATCTGCTGCTTTTCCCACTCTCTATGATTAAGGTGATGAATTTTTGAGCAGCGGCCGACACCGAAGCGATCGACTTTGAATCGGCCTCTATCAAATATGAAACAACAACGTACAGTCGCTTCAGAGGGGACGTTTCCCATTTTCTCATCCGTTGTACTACACTCATGCGCCCACGAAACGTACCCTAATCAGAATTCGAAGCTTACAGACAATTTTGTGTTTTAAACGACCATTTTATGCTGCCAGATTGGCACATTACTCGTTGCTGTACAAAAATTAAGGAAATAAAATACACGAGTAGAAACTAAAGTAAGTACAAGCAGCAGAGTCCTGTACAAAACTGACAGTCGCTCAGCTGGCAAAAAAATACTCACCTTACAAGGCACCCCTTGCCGTCTTCATAAAGGCCCGTCACTGGGTCCTATCCTTAACCAGATTTCAGTTACAGTCAGATTCATTTTAATATTATATTTCTATCTCGAACTACGCTTTCTAAGTCATATTCTACCCTCAGGTTTTTCTACTAAAATTTTATATGCACTTCTAATCTCAATGCATGTTACATGTCCCGCCCATCTCATTCTCCCTGATGTAATATTCTTAATATAATCTGGTAAAACGTACACATCATGAAGTTCCATTCGTAATTTTCACCACTCTCCAACTGCGTCCTCTCTCTTGGGTCTAGATATTTTCCTCTGCGTTTTTTCTCAGACACTCTCAATCTGTATTGTTACTTTTGAGTTAGAGAGAAATTTCATTCCCACACGAAACGACGTGTAAAATTATAATTTCGCGTGTCTGAGTCTGAAGATTTTGAGGCAGGATATGTGAAAACATAAATGTTTCTTAAATTTAATCCGCTCTTTAATTATTTCATGATCAGAATTACAAGACTGCCTGAAGAAGTAACGGATTCTGAAGAAACTGGTGGTTACGCGCATGCGTATATACGAATGATGTCACAGCCAACAGTTTCAAGAATTGGAAAACAAATAAAAGTCGTCAATGTCTCATGAATATGATGCAGCCGAAGACACTGCAACAGGGCAGCAACCATTTCAGCCAAAGCAAAAAAGAAAGAAAGAAGAAACTTGGTTAGGCTCAACACTGACTTCTCTACAGCATCTACAAGATTTGCAAATTCAACTTCGTACAAAGTTTTCCACGTATGAGGTCTACAGTTAGAACTTATTTGCAATTCTACTTGATAAATACAGCTTGCCTTACTTTGTAATTTTCGTTCTCGTATATAGTTTTTAGAGCGCAAACCGTGAACTCTGTTTTTCAGTACTGAATTTTGAAACTTTGATGTTCTACAATCGATTGGACAAAATTCCCAGCATACGACTACAAAGAACGGACTTACTAATCGATTTTAAGCGGGTGTATCAACTTCGTCGTAAAGGGAAAGTGATATTCAACTGTCGTTCCTCCTTATCTGCTGTAATGGGTTTTGTTCGCCACTCATATTAGTAAGGTGACAACTAATATGGAAAATTACGTACTTTATATCAATTCATTAATAATTCAATTTGTGTATTATTAGGGGGAGGAAATTAAGGGGGGTAAACTAGGGAGCACATGGGGGAAATAGTGACAGCCTGATAAACTGAAAGGATGAAATCAATATACACCCCTAGGCACATATGGAGAATAATATTAAAAACGACATTAAAGGAAAAAATTGTGAACACAACAGTAGAACTCCGAGTTTCCTTGATTCGATCATCCTAATAATATCTAAAAGAGAGCAAAATTATGAAGCTCCTTATTAGTCGTGTGAAACTTCCTTCATCCTCCTCTGACTTCCTCTCTTCTTGTCAGCTTTAGCAATCCATCTGCCCTCAAACATTCTCAATATGAACCTCCACATCCTAGAATTGCCAATTTAAGCCCTGCTGATGGAGGCAGTATGTATCTCCGAAACTGTGGCATCTACCGACGAGTACACACGACGCCAAAACCCAGAAGACCAGCATCAACGTTAAACACTCCAACCTCCCAACTTAGGTCCTGGTTTCTGAAAATAATGGGTATAACATAGGCGGCTATTCATTTGTCCATTTTCAAAGTCTTAGCAGGACTAACACGGTTTACATAAACGTTCAGCCCTTGTGGACAAACTGGGCCCCAGATTTATGGGACAACCCGTGCAATCAAAAATCATTCAAAGGCATTGCGCCGGATACTGTGTCAGACGGACACTACGTGCCACGACATTTAACAGAAACAAAAAATCAAGACATTCTCTCGTTCTTTCAGATTCGTCAGTAACATTGGAGACACATACGGCTCGGCTCTGCTGTTACACATGTTGATCAGCACAGTGACCTTGACACTGCTGGCCTATCAGGCCACAAAGGTACGCATTGCTCGATGTTTTATTCTCAGTAGCAGATATCATGATACTTTTTTCTTTTGGTTACCTTGACTTATTGTCAGAATCTTACTACTGCAGGTCTAGTATTTAGAGAAAGCAGAATAGATAACGAGAAGAATGGGATAGACAAGACACGTAGAACTTATATAAACAAAAGCATACAAAGTTTGTTTTTAAACTTCATGCGAAGATGAACTTTGGTTGTATGATCTGAAGCTTTCACGGCAACCAAGTTTACTTCTCGGACTGCCAGCCGTGTCAGGTGTTTGAAAGGCGAAAACACCAACGTTTCGAGAATCATCTTTGCCATCGTCCTCAGGGTACCAAAGTATTCAATACCCTGAGTACCTGACGGCTGGTAGCCCGAGAAGAATTCATTATACACTTTGGTTATTCTGATATGTGACCAGATAACGTAAAAAACGGATCTTAGACACATACGATTATGTTATAAAGAAAACTTTGATAATCAATTTAATAAACTATAATAAGATGGTAAAGTTGCGTCATATTGTGATATAATAAATATATATTATTTAAATCTTGTCCGTCTAATCACAATAAATTCTTATTAAATATTAAAATATTACAATAATTAACATTTAAAATATTTAAAATATTAAATGATATTCTTTATCGAAATATTCGATTTACATTAGACCTAATGTAGGTGTAATATTTTAATATTTAATAAGAATTTATTGTGATTAGACGGACAAGATTTAAATAAACTATAATAAATGATTGAAAGAATGACTAAAATACTTTTAATGGGAAGTTGAAGTCCAAATAACTCATAATGTGTTTGTCTGAAGCGGAAATGTCATTTCTTGCACATTTATGTAAACTTCCACAGATTGAAGCCGCGAACGTGTATGCCTGTACAGTAATCGGCTATTTGGTGTACACACTGGCCCAGGTGTTCCTCTTCTGCTTCTTTGGCAACCGACTCATCGAGGAGGTAATGACGAAGGAAAACAGCTTTTATTTGCCTACTTGCAGTAAATAAAGGATACTGACTGACGGGTGGCTAAACGCCGGACCAAACCTAAAATTGAAATTCCCAAAGTTTTGTAATTACAGTCAGTTCAATAAATTGAACTCGATTGAAATCGGCATTACTCACAGCGAAATATTGTGCGGTATTTGCGAGACGAAGCTTTTAGTCTGAGGCTCTTTTGATGCAAAGAAAAAGGTTCCAGGCCTCCCATATTAAAAATAACTAAATATGTGATTTATCTGTAAATTACTTCTTCCGTTAACAGTACGGTATATTTGTAATTTAATATGGGCTCTTATTAGCAATGAAATGTGTCGTAATTAGGTCATCCCACCCCACCCCCGACAAAACTTCATGTCCCTTGGGGTCCGCGGCTCCCACTTTGGGAAACGCTGACATCGAAGAACAAACAAGGGTGGAAATATTTTCTTTCTTTACATAAGTTACTGGCATAGTGAAAATGCATCTATAACGCAAATCTTGTAAAAGAGACGTTGAGATTTATTATATATTACCAGGCTTTGACTCTATCGAGTGCCCCATTAGCCAGGAATCATAGGCAATGCACGTCTTCGTTTTGGCACTATTGTAAAAGATGGCATCGCGTAAATACAAAGAAGCATTTCTGTTGTGTGTAGGTTGCACTCACCGATAAGCCGCACAAGTTGATGAAAACACTCAACATATTTTGTAACAGCCGTGTCAAAACTACAGTACTGCATATGGTTCAAGATATACGGGACACTCTCTACAATGGTAAAAAATGTAGATACACGAAGAATTCATAAGAATTCTTGACGATAAGTTAAACAAGTGAGTATAGGAAGGTCGATTAATTAATGCCCCTGTAACCTCACCAAACATCAACCGCGTCTTGTTGCAGAGCTCGTCAGTGATGGAGGCTGCGTACAGCTGTCAATGGTACGACGGATCTGAGGAGGCAAAGACTTTCATTCAGATCGTGTGTCAGCAATGCCAAAAAGCCATGAGCATCTCTGGGGCAAAATTCTTCACGGTGTCGCTAGATCTGTTTGCTTCGGTAAGTATAATCATCTACGCAGTTCACACATAAGAGTGTTGATATTTCAGGTCGCATGTGTCTGAAACAGCTAGACACGTCTAAACGTGTCTTTTTTGCTAGGATCATTCCGATTGGTCAGTATCAGTAAGTTTTACTGTTTTAGGTGTTGGGTGCTGTAGTGACCTACTTCATGGTGCTGGTACAGCTCAACTAGACGCATACGGAACGCGCTCCAGAAGAGAAGAGACAGTTCACGGTCTCATCTGCAAATCACGTCCATTACACTTCGTTACCTACTCGGCAAAATGTGGCATTTAACAAGTCGTTTGTCATATCGAAATAAAATACCTGAGTAAACCATTTAGAAAAAAATCATTAATACTATAACATTTAATATTACTGGAAGTATCTAATAAGTATTTATCAAAAAAAATTAGAAGTTGTAAGAAGTCTGAATGTGCCTTTTATCTGCTTCATACGAAATTACTGTTAGTATTTAAATTATCACGTAAAGTGTAATGACGACTTTAGTATGGTCTGAAAGTTCTGTTACTATAAAAAGACGTTTGAAACGATCTCCCAGTACCTGCAAGAGTAGATCTGACTATAAAAGACGCACACAATATTAAACCATTTATGATGATTATATAAATTACAGATATACTTAAATCGCTGTCCAACATACTGATCTACAATAATTACAAGATGATAGCTTCTTCTGGGTTGTTGTACCGTGTAGTCTGGTAGAAGTTTACCAACACCCTGATTATGGATGCCGCAAGCACCTCTGAAACATCCGTAAATTTCTACCAGACTACACGGCTCAACAACCCAGAAGACAGCCATCTTAGTACTCACCGCCGTGAGGATCTCAAATCATACTTAATAATCACAGAACTAAGAATCAAGATCCATTGGAGGTTGAATGTGTTACAGTTTTATTAAATTAGCCAATATGCTGACAGTGATGCCAATTTAATTTGAAATAATTCCATTATTTAAGAATTACGGAGAGGTGTACATTTAACACCGCAGTGGAATCACTCCCTTTTCGAAAGGACTGACTCCACTTATCGCATATGTGGTAAATAAAAATACTCGTTAAGTTTTAAAATATCTAACTCAATAGCACGAAGTCTTCTCTCTTTTGTTAGGATAAAATTCCCATGTTGTCACCAGATAGTCTCTGTTTTGATGTAAAATATAAAAATGCTCATCATTTATTCACATAGATGGCACTAACAGGAAAAAACCGATATTCAGCACCAAAGTCTCTACTTCTGCTATTATAAATGACACATTTTTATTAGTTGTGTGCAAAATAACTAACCATAAATTCGTCAGACTGATGCCATAATCATATTCATTAAAACTAATAATGCATTAAAATGATTTAAATAATAATATGTATGAATGATTTTATCTTGTCTGTCTGTGATAAAACATTGGGTATAAAATTTTAATCTCACAGGCAGGATTACGTGCGTACGTAGTAGTATTTTATTTTTTAATACAGATCGTGTATAAAAGCAATATTAACCTCACTTGTCGATGGACGACAATTTGTTTATGAACCACACAGTTTACACTTATAAGCTGCAAGGATTAAATATGTCAACGGAGGCGTTTAGATACACTGGAGGATAATATACTGACATATTGCAGCCTTTATTTAAAATATTTTATACGGTTTGCCATTTACTTCCATAAGAATTTTAATTCTATTTTGTTCAGGAGAGTGTCTCATTGACATGTCTTGTGGGGCTGATGCAACGTGCGTTCACACTGAGAACTCTGTCTAATAACCGTCTTAAACAGTTCTAAAACGCGCACAAGACGCTAAGCTGCAGCACCGGACGTTGTGTGGAAAAGCTGGCAGTTACCTTAAGAAAGTCGACGGAATATTGTCAGAGTTATTGACAGCGTCACGAAGTAAATCATAAATGAAATAAATATATTAAGAAAGTATGTGCGTAAAAATAATGTAAATATTTTTTTAAAATTTAAATCTACCTATAACCATAACTTATTCTATCGTTTTATTGTTATGTATAATTTAATATTAGCAACACAGAGTACACGGGACATTCAGTATTATAATTACGTATAAGTAGAGCGTTATATTTCGAGATCAAAATTTCAGTTCCTAGCTGCTGAGGCACATGTCAGTGTTTTATTCACAGTCAGCGAAACCATGCAACTACCTTGAGGTTACAAATCGCCAATCATTTTTTCGGTATTGAACTTTGTACATAGACATAGTTGCAGATATACAAATATTCTGTCATACATTAGCGACATATTTATAATATTTTTAGCTTAGAACTGAACGGTGGTGTAACCATGATAACCAAATTCTTGTACTTGCATTCAGGACGCCTGATAATGAGGGCGTCGGAGCTTATAATGACTGGGAAAATGTTTCTGAAGATAATACACTTTATGTAATGTTATTCACTGAATAAAGTTTACTCTATACATACATAAAGTTATATAAGTGTCTTCCTTCCTTCTTTTCCGTTGTAAACCCTCTGATAATCATTAATTAAATATATGAATATGATATATTAAATTCAGTTGAAATCATTTTGAGGAAGGCAGTTACACACTCGTTTGTTTATTCAATATTCCATTTAAGTGGGCAAAAATGCCTACACTTCTCACTAGTTACGGCCTGCCCAGAACCTCAAATCACATGCGCTATCACCATGTTTTCCCCTTCATATGTCCGTCCGTCTGACCTCTCCCCTAATAAACTTCGAAGCAACTGACCATTATTTTACTGGCACACTGTATAAGTGAAAATGATGCCATAATGGATTACTAAATCGTATAATTGTTGCTTTATAGTTCTCATTGGCCTTGCTACACAGAATGAAATAACCTAGGTGAAGGAAAAAGACGTCATAATTTATCGTTAGAGGCGCGGAAGATGATTCATTATTAAGAGGAGTTATCTATCGTCTACAGGTGTCCTAATTGAATTTCCGACCTCAGCAACGGTTTGGTGTGAGCGGTCAGCAACTGAGGGCCGACCCTAGAGCCCTGAACTTAACACCGTGGCACTAACAATATTAACTTGGTTATTGTGCGAACTTGTGAGGTGGGAACGACTCCGCAGGAACTTCCAAACACATGCATCTTTGAAGATGGCTGTCGTCTGGGATATCCTACCGTTTAGTCTGGCAGATACTGACTGATATTTAAGAAGCTTGCTGCCTCCACTGTCAGTATGATGAAGATGGATGCAGTTAAGTTCCTCTGAGTCTTCGGTTAGTGTCTGCCCAACTATATGGTGCTACATCACAGGAGACAGCCATCTTCATATTCGTCTCCGCGATAAACTCTGCATTTTTGTGAAGTGTAACATTGCGATCGAAATATTTTTGTCTGTTGACCATAATTACTAAAAGACTTAACTCAGAATATCAAACTTTTTACCACATTTCCATTCCACGCTAAACAACCACGTTAGTTGCTACAGCGATATAAAACAATCAAATAGTCAATCTTCCTACAAGACTCTTTTTCCACACTGCCAACAGAGAGATTTACTCATCTGTAACGCGTGTGACTGACATTGGGATGTAGCCGGTTCGAATTCTGGCTGGTCACTGACCACAGATTCAGCATCTTCGTGATTTTCATCAATAAATGACATGTAAAATAGACCCAATAAAATAACACCAATCATGGCAGTACTATTCGGTTTACACGAAATCAAATGCTACCTGGATATTATTAAGAGACAGGTGACTTGAATGTTGAGATCTGGGCTAGCAGCTTCCGACTGGAGCCTTCATTACGAGGGGAGGGGATCGATACTGAGCGAATCGAGCTGCTGCTCCCCGGCCGGCCTCCTCCTCAAATTGAGGGTCTTTCACAGTACCGCCACCAGGAGCAGCAGTGAGGCATCAGACAAGAGAAGATCGTGGGATATTGTTGAGGGTAGCCGCTGTGTGATGACGTACCGGAAGTAGTGGTGGGGGTAGTGAGAAAGACGGAAGTAAACAGTGTCCGGAAGGAAGCAGTTGCCGGCCGACAGGTGGAACACCGTGAGTATGCTCGCATGATGAAACGTGACACTCTGGCGGTGGGTGATTCAAATAAAGAGTAAATTGCTACGGCTGATTTGTATTGTCGTCGACGTAGTGGTCCTGGAGATTTTCTGAGACCCAATGACAGTCATGTCAGAGACTATTACAGAGTAATTACCGAGTAACAGTCTATATTTATATCCCTGTATTGGGTATATAATCTAAAAAATAATATCTTAAAAGTATTTAAATTTGTTTTTGTAACGAGTTTAGTCTGAAACCTTACACACGAAAGGAGTTCATGGACGCAGGATGGCTTCTTTAATATTAATTCTGGAATCTTTCTAAGCAATTAACAATGAAGAATGTTTAAAATCGTACCCAGCTGAAGAGAACTTATTAAAGGCGCGCCGAAGTTCGGTATGCACAATACAATTCACTTTTGTTCAGGGTCATAATCAGCAATAAAAGTATGTTACTTTTATAAGATTTGAGGATTTCGCAGCGGTGAGTATGAAGATTTCTGTCTTCTGCGTTGTTGCGCTGTGTAGTCTCGTCGATGCTTACCGACGTTTCAGAGGTCATACTGCCTCCGTCATCAGGGCGATTCTTAGTATGAAGATTTCTGTCTTCTGGGTTGTTGCGCTGTGTAGTCTGGTCGATGTTTACCAACGTTTCAGAGGTCATACTGCCTCCGTCATCAGGGCGATGAATCGGTCAATGTTATCATAACGCCAATTTGGGGTATAGTATGGTTAAAAGCAAAGATTTATAGAACTGGGATCTTTGCTCGTATTTATGAGGTATCTGATTAAAATCTCGGAGAAGAGATGGTTAGCATGTCGAATATGTTCATAACTACCTCAGACCTTCCAATAAAATACTGAGACAGGCCTAACTGAAGGACAAGTCTGCTTCCATCATAAATCACAATTCGTAATCGTCCTTCCATTTCACACTCAGTACTACATAGATCTGTTATGCACCTGACAACTTGATTAAACTACAGTAGATGTACAACAGATGTAGACAGCAGTGGCAGTAGTGGTGGTTGTAGTAGAATAAAATTAAAGGGAGAATGTAGCAGACACTAAGGAATAAACCAAGATACATACAAAGTTAGATCTCTACTAAGTAATTCCAGTACTAAAATGAAACAGAGAGCCCAAGGGGATTCATAGTAAGTATAAAGGGCTGTATCGTGGAGGAAAGAAGGAGGAGGAGGAGGAGGAGGAGGAGGAGGAGGAGGAGGAGGAATAGGAGGAGGAAAGAAGGAGGAAGAGGAGGAAAGGCGTAAGATAGTACCCAGGAGAGCAGATCTCGAGCATAGAACAGCAGCTAACAATGACTGACCATGGATCATAATCCTTCTTCAGTAACTAATGTAGTCGTTAAGCTGGTCAAAACATCCTCCGCCCTTTATAGAACCCGAAGGTTTATTATAGCGTTCACAAGAGCCCGCCAGGACCGTATCTTGAACCACTTGAATCTAGCCTACACCTTAAACACCAGTACTTAAGATAAATGTTGATATAATTTTTCCATCTATGCAAACGTCATCCCTTCAGGTTTCCCTGTCACGTGTTACAGGTCTTTATCATCGCCACACTCGCTCTATATGTTCCGCCAACCGCATCTGCCATGATTTGATTACTAACAGTATCAGGTGTAGAGTACTTATTATGAAGCTCCTCGGGATAACTTCCCCCCTCCGCTAATGTATCGTCATTGGCACTGGGTGGATACGGAAACGAAGGGCAATTCATCATCTTCACTCCAGCTTGGATTGTGAACTTCGTTTGTTTATGACAACAGTGACTTTGTATAACGACCTTCTTGTCACTCCCTTCCGCTACTTGACGAGGATTTGGAGTCAGGGATAGAAACACAGAAGCAGAACGCTGGGCCACCGGCAGCTGTTGCCTTGAATCCTCGCCACAACCTAACTGTGACCAGGGGGAGTAAACTATAAATGTGGCGCCAACAACTGGAGAACAGGAGTCTGTCACACGCGATGTTGAGAAAATCCCGGAAAGGAAGGAGTTTGAAAGACTGACACCCCCCTCCATTCTTAAACTGAAGTAACTCCATGGAGCAGAGTCCTTCTTGACAAGCTCAGCTCAGCTACGCTCAACTGGTCAAGAAATTCCGCACCTTATGTGGAAACAAACGGTTCATTACCGTATTCACAAGAGCCCGCCACCGGTACCTGTCCCAGTCAGATGAATCCAACCCATAAACTCCAACACTATTTACCTCAGATCGTTTTCATGTCATCCTCCCATCTACGCCTAGGTCTTTCGTGCAGTTCTTAGCTTCAGGCTTGCCAATTAAATTTCTATTTTACAAGAGATAAGATACGAGTTTAATGTCCGAGCACAGAACACAAACGTAACAAAGCGTGACAGATCACTTTAGAAGCGACACGGTTGCTATGGAAACGCGACGGCATCTTTAAGCAAGTGACGGCCATCATCTGTTTGTTGACTCACCAAATATCATGACGGTTCTAATCGATTCGAGTAAACATGATCATCTTCCCAGGTTCAAATTCCACACTCCGACAATGGATCCAGTGAATGCCGCACGCACGCCATTTCGCGATTAATTAAACAGATCACAACAGCCAGTCAGCCAGCCTAATAATCAGCTGCAATAACCATCACAGACAGCGAAAAGTTCGAATCTTAGTCCAGAAACTGGCAATCCTGATAGACTTCCCTCCGGAAAGTGCTGGGAGAGTACCAAACAATTCACAACAGGTTCCTTCCTTATCCTTTCCAAATAACTACGTACAATAACCCTGTAATAATCCCATACAGTTGAGAATTCGTTGTCTGTTAAACTGAAGACAAAAGTAGCTCGCTTCTGGAATGTTCACCTTGTAGTCTGGTTTAAATTTACCGATGTTTCAGAGGAGCTTCCTGTCTCCATCATCAGGAGAATGAATGAAATTTCCATGTTCATATTGGTCGCCGTCAGAACGTGGAATCTCTCAACCTTCTTACAAAATCTCATAAAAGAACGCCGTGTACAGCGATGTACTGGTAGCACCGGCATTTTTGTCTCTGTGTTAAAGTATTATTCAATGTCATAGAGCCGAAGTATTTCAGAACAGAAATAATTCGTTTTAATGTCAACATCCACTGACGTATTATTCGGTTACTACAGAAGTATCTTTGCCATAAAACGCAATTCATTTCATATCGTATCCTAGTTTGAGAAAATGCCAAACAATGGATCAGTTTAAATTGGCTTTCATTATTTCGTTATATAATGCTCCTGAATGTGATTTGTAGTCTATTTTAACTCTCGTCGGTTTAAAATAGACCCTAATTTACGTCCTTCATAATTTAAAAATCTCTTACGGTAATTAGGCGCAGTTTCCAATTTGGATGACGTTTATGTAATCGTGATATTTAGACGGAAAGATATTGCATACTTC